CTATTTTCTATAAGAGACTCACTCTTGTACTAACTGATCTCCCCATATACACCATCGATAACCACACCGCTTATGCCACCCCTGGAAGCATTGCGCCGGCAACTAAACTAATGCTTCTTCTACCTACTTTCGCATCTGCCAACGGCACTTCGATTCCATCCTCCGGTCTCCAATACAGCTTCGAGCCTTCTCTTCTGATTCTCCTATATTATCCTTCCTAGTTTCCAGATATTTGTCCGTCGCTTGTTTGGCCATATCGGTCCGACATCAGATTCCAACCTCGACGTACAAAAGCTCCTTCCCCCTCCCCTTGTCCCTTTATCCTCATTTCTATTCTTTGATTGTCGTACCCACCTTTTAACTCTCTCCAACATGGCTCACCCTTTCGCCCCGAAGTTCGATCGACAAGCAACCCTGTGCTGCCTCTTTTGCAGTAAACCAACCACTGATATGATCAGACACATGTCCGTCCATAACAAAGACCCAAGCTTGACCTTCAACTTGTTCGGTGCGCGTCGACCTCTTATGCGTTTTAAACCTCTAACCCAGTCGCTTTCCAGGCATTAACGTCACCGCAAAACAGGTGCATTCCAAGGGTTATCGATGTCCCTTCCTCAAGTGCACTTTCACGGGTCTGCCTGCTGGCCTATACATGCATTTGATGAGTCACATTACTGTAAGGCTTCCCTCCTTTTGATAACGCTTGCACTCATAAACTCTAAGCTAACCGTAGACGAAACGGAACAAACCCTGCCCGTTGCTGACGGATGTCCCACCAAACGCCCTCTCGACTTGACGCAATCGCCCGAATTACCAGACATCGTCTCTCCTACAAGCACCTTGGCCAGCAGCACCCTGTCCCTACTCAATAGGGTCACGGGTTTAGTCACACCATCTACGCATGCATTCGAAGAGCCCCCCAATAAGAAGCGACGAACCGAACCACCCCCTTCGCCCTCTCCCATCACTACTACGTTATCTCCCGGTATGATCCCACTGGAACATACTCAAAAACTCCAAATAATCAGTGAGTACATTGAAGATAATATCGGCTGCTGTCCCTTTCATGGCATGTCCTCGTCTCTTGAGATTATCAACCAACACGCAGATCTCTGCCATTGCGACCTCATCGACACCAGTAAATACAAAGCCGTTTTCCGCAAGGTCATGCGCAAAAGTGTCAACAACAGCATGTTATGTTTCTCTTGCTGTGGTTACATGGGCTTTCACCACCCTGTGGAACGCTCGTGCGACAGCGATGCTCTCCAGGACATCTGGATCGGCATTCCTTACATCGTCTTCTGTGTCCCGGCGGTACATCACATCATATTCGCAGCCCTCGGCAAGCACAACTACCGTCTCATCATCCATGACATTGAATCCTTTGTCATCTGGCTTTTTCAGCCATCACCTCACAACAGCATCCCCACGAGAGCAACCCGAACGTGTTCGACTTGTTGATTGCTTTTGCATTGTGCTCAAACGAGTTTGCGGAGATCGAGTGGTCAGATGCCCTGGCGGAGGCAAACACGAGGATTGCTAACTTCTAACATGCTCATTTCCATTTGCTCAACTTTCGTTTCCATTCAACTGCACGCATTTTAGTATGTACATTAGGATCAAGGTCGGTTAGATACCAGGCGGACAATTAGTTTTATGCATCATTCAGCAGTCAGATGGATGCCCGCCTTGTATTGTACATTCATAGATCACTTCATGCCAAGTATGTTTCATGGCTGTTTGACTAAGTACTTGCTTCCCACAACACGCTGTCGTAGTCTAATTATCGCTCGAAGAGAGTTTTCCGTTCGCACATTATAAGTTTTTTTTATTAAATAATATCAGAAGGCATCAATGCCTTGGACGCGTGGCTCCATTTCAGAGTTAATTTTTGAGATGACAGATAGGGGTAACAGTGTGTTGCCAGCCCACATATATACTCACCCTCGGCCTCCGTCTTTTGATTTCCCACCTTGTCCTCCTCCCTCAACATGCCTCCCCAACAAAAACCCCATGACCTTATAACTAACCACTCTATTAGGGTTCTCATGACCAGACCCACCGATGGAAACGTTGACTTAACCACGCTCGATCCTCAGCAACGGGCCGCGCTAGATCTCACTCGCAACGGAACCAGTTTCTTTCTCACCGGTGATCCTGGTGAGTGTTACTCCCGGTTCAGGTTGCTGTACTCGATGTTTTCTAGGAACCGGAAAAACCTTCACCAGTCATCAAAATTATTGAATACTTGTTAACCAAGTACTCCAAGCACGAGGTGGCCGTAACCGCGAGTACAGGGGCTGCTGCGAACAAGATTACAGGGTAAGTTTGAATTATTCTTCTCGAGATCGATCCCTACCCTCACAACAGGACAAACAATTCATTCGTGGGCTGGGCTCACGGGTTGCGAGACAACCCCCGAACAGGCCTTGAAAAAAGTTGTCAACAACAATTCGGCGGTTGCGCGTTGGATAGAAGCCAAAGTACTTATTGTGGACGAGAGTAAGTCCGCCCCCTAGCCTACTTTACCCACCACCACGACAACCCAGTTTCCTTGGTCACTGGATTCTTTATATCCTGCTTGGATAAGATCGGGAGAAAAATAAGGCAGAAGGATATTCCTTTTGGAAATATCCAGGTGCGTAACCACCATTCTTTGCAGACATAAACTCACCAGACCAATCAGCTCATTACCTCGGGCAATTTTTTACAGTTACCCCCCGTTACCCCTAAGAACTCCTCGCCTGATTTTGCTTTCATGTCCACATCATGGATGGATACGCTCACGCAGAACATCAGATTGACTACGGCCTACCGCCAGCAGAGTCCAAGTAGGTTCCGACGACCACTCCAATGCTAACTTGAAACAACAGGACTGCCAGGATTCATTAAGCTTTTACAAGAGATACGCATCGGCAAGGTCTCTGATCTAACGGTCAACATCCTTAGGCCCTTGAAGCGACAAATTCCCCGCACATATTTGCCTGAAGTCGAGGTGGTCCTTCTCTTTTGCACTCGCTCACATGCAAACACCGCAAATGAGGAACGTTTGAGTAAGATACGGGGTCATTCGACGAGGTACACATCCATAGACGACACTTCGACTGATCATGCCAAAAAGCTAGTCGACAATGGGCCAGCCGAACGATTAGTGAAACTTAAGACAGGAGCGCAGGTCATCCTGCGAAAGAATATCGGTAACGGACTACATAATGGTAGCCCAGGAGTTGTACTCGGATTTTACACGTCATACGATGTACAACCTGAAGATGATAGGTCCTCCTCACCGCAGACTTTGTTCAGCATCCGTGACGTCCAAGTTGATGAGAACTCCAGACCTCTTCATGCCCAGCCAGGCAGTCGTCGTGCTGTTGGAGGTCGCAAAGAAAACCTATTTCCCCTTGTAAAGTTCAAGCAAGCGGATACTCATGAACATGTTCTTGTTTTAGATGAAGAGTTTACATTTGATTACGAAGAACGCGGGAAAACAATGAGAGCTTCTCGAATTCAAGTCGATACCGCACGTTTACTGATCAGTCCTCTTTCTAACGCTTGTTTTAGGTTCCACTTTCTTTGGGGTGGGCGATGACCGTTCACAGGAGCCAAGGTTCTGGTTTTGAGAAAGTTTCTGTAGACTGTTCCCGCACGTTCTCCCCTGGTATAGTTGTCATCAAATCTTTGAGCATTCAGAGTTGATATTGTCGCTAGGCCAGCTATATGTCTCCCTTTCTCGCGCCCAGTCTCTGCAAGGACTACAAGTCTTGGGGTTTCACCCAAAGAAGGCGAGTTCATTCATCAAGTTTGCTGCTCCGCTGACATGTGCGAAGGTTACAGCAAATGCTGTCGCTTTAAAATTCATGAAGGATACCTTTGGGTCCTTATAAGGGATTCTCTCGCGTCATTTCAATGTGTTTAATTTTTGTATAACTGGTAGCAAGCCTCAAACTTGTTTTCTCGCTATTCTTTGGTTACCACGTTCTGGAGGTTCTTTTGCCCTTTTCATGCGCTCTTAGACATTCAAATCGAAATCATGTCAACCGTGAGAATCGGTTAGTGCGCACACCCAGTTGTAACAACCTTCAGACCCATCTTAGTTTCCATATCATTCATCGTTGATGGTTTCCCCTGTGGCCCGCATAGGCAACCGCTTTAACACTATGGCGTTGAGCTCCCGTTGGGAGGGGGCTTTGAACGCGTGGAGTCCTCATGACACATTGAGGGGAGAGGAAGGTCAAAGTTAGTTAGTTAGTTAGTTGAGCAAATTTGAGGTTAGGAAGGGTTATGCCTAAGATAACGTTAGCGTCAGCTATGGGGTCCCACAGTGAATCGGAATATCACATGTAGAAGCACGCCCGACCTTGTTATGATCTATCAATCACGGAGAGCGTACCAGCCCCTGCTAACCCTGACGTTTCAGCAGCCAAGCCCAGTAAGTCGTCCAAAAGTCGGTCCCCACACAATCTCACATAGATCACGGTGGGTCATGCGCTGTCGTGATCTCACATAGATCTCTTGACTTGACAACAAACCGACAGAGGATTGAAACTTTTGGGAGGCCACCGTCAGGCAAGGGAAAACAAAGAGCATGGTATCACAAGAGTGAACGTAAAGAACGTCGAAGACGAATACACTTTGTGATGATTAATAAGAAGCATAAAAGAATATGACTAGAGCTAACCATGCATTAACTATAGGGAGGGTGAACAAGATGTGGGGTTGAGTCTAATATAGGGAACACTGGTTCATGTTCAAGGTCTGCCCTACAGCGGAGTCGCAATCACAATTGCACCTGACTTGGACGTTGTCCACTGGGCCAGTTTCCAGCGGAGTGGGAGCACCTGGTGATTGTTAAACTTGGTGAACAGCGGGGAAGAGGGGTTCAGTTAAAAAAACCGGATGAAACCGTTAAGCCCAGAAGGCCATGGGAGCCTTTGTAGTCATGTATTAGTTCGAACGATTGACACAGCGAAATGCAAAATTTTAACATTCCTGGCAATTAACTAGCGAATGATAAGGCGCAACAACAGCCAGAAACGCTACGGCATATGACTTGCGATATTTTAATACACAAGAACGTCAGTCTAATACGTTACGACATGTAACTGTTGAGATTTATAGTCCCCCCCGCCCCCTTAAGAGACCAGCCGGCAGGTTTATCTTTCAACAGCTCAAATGAAGAGCGGGGAAAAAACCAAACATTACCTATCCGCCCTGGCGTAATGCCATCTCCTGACACCCCAGGCTGAGGAGTCCAATCTCCTATGCTGTGATACAGCGCGCCGGCCATTAGAATGATAACCTCGCCAGGCCGGTACCTTCAAAGCAATCAGTATACTTTCGATGACTGCACCAAGGGGCGCTCACGAAAGTTTGAGTTTGAGATCTGGAATGTAACACTCTCCACCCTCGAAGCGGCCCATTGGGAATATCACAGCAGGGCCTGCATCCAATCCATCCTGATGCGGAAGTACTGCTAGCTTCCATACTATTACCCTACCTAGGAAGGGGCCGGGGTCGACTACCGTCCATTTGCCTGCCTCAAAAGCCTTCTGGTATTTCTTATAAAATTCCGGAAAGCTCACGTGAAACATGGCAGACAACCGCAGCACCAATGCCTCAGTCGCCTTGTAGTACGCATAAACGTGGGGGGCGCCGTGCGGTCCAGATATCATGTCTTTCGACGGATGAATCCCGTGCTAAAGCGATAAGTGTCAGAGAAACGTGTTAAACTGGAGAAAATGCTTACCGTCCCTGCAACACGACCTTGCTCTGCCCACCCATGCACGAGGTGTAGCACACCAGTGCTCTCCGACGCAAACGAATCGTCTTCATAAACATACTCTACCCCCTGCCATACAAAACTTCGTCGACCGTTGGTCTCACGCAAGGTTTCACCGGGGGGAACACTGTCTTTGGCATACTTCATTAAGATGTCGCCCCCGTCGTGGCGACCGTCACGAATAGCGTGTTGGACGCCAAGGTGATGGACGAGGAGCTGAGTAGATACCATCACCTTTTCGAGTGTTTGCCTCTATATCAATAGTTAGTAGATTGTACGTACTCCAATTACAAAAAAAAACTCACTTTGATTCCGTCAAAATACAATTTTTTACCCTCTCTCTGGGCATTGTCCAGCCACGCTGAAGATCGTCCCATCGTCGATGGGGTCTGCGGTCCTGGAATGTAGCGCGCGTATATCCCTTCGACGATCTACGGCTCTAGCGAGCTGTCAGTTCATCCTCCTGGCAAGGTAAATAACCTCACCTCGAGGTTGCCCTCCACTCGTCTTGCGAAGTATGCAACCAGCGTGTTGCCCAGCTCATCTTGAAAAATCCCCGATGCTCTGTCGCTCTCCCATGCTTTCATTTCGTCCATGACCTCCTGCGACCGTATTCTATCCTTGGAAGCGTTTTTGGGGCGAGCCTGGAGTTCTTTAAGGAAGACCCCTGGTAACCTGTACACTGGCGTCTTATCCACCCAGTGCTTCAAGTCGTGGTCGACATGGATGATCAAGCGCTTGTTGAGCTGGCTATCCAAGCACTTACGCTTCCGAATGACGGGCCTCAGTAGGGTCGTCTTCGGGTGTGGGGTCCTTGTCGCCTTGCGAAGCGCACGCTTAGGACTGTCTTTGAGAATGGCCACCGCTTGTGAAACTATCTTGGCGTCAGTCACAACTTGACGCAGTTCACCATCGCACGAATCATCCGACAGCTCAGTTAAGCTGCTGAGGGAGGACTTATCGTCGTTGTCGTCCATGTCTTGGAGCATGCGTTCCTAGGGAAGCTAATTTGGGCGTGAATATGGTGCATACAGATATTTATTGTATTCGCTAAGCTCACCATCTGTGAAATTTTCATGCAAGCACGTAAAGCGACGCGCTTAATGGGCCTGCCATGCGGCAATTTACTAAGATACATGTGATCAATTGAATTGGCTCACCTCAGCCTCCGCCAGAGGGTCTTGAGCTGCGAGATTTCTCATCAACTACATCACTGCAGAACGTAATTTGAATATCGTACTTACACAGATTATGGAGGGATTGCAAATGTTACTGATTAGGAGTTGTCGACAGTTCTGGATCATCATCAGGGCGCTGAGCCTACTCCGAGCGTTTGATCCCCAAGCGAGACGCTTCATAGACCTGTTATGCGAAACTTCTTCAATACATACAATCATTTGAACATCAGGCTCACCTCGTGTTTTACTCGGCGTGCCCCTGCCCGACGGCTTCAAGCTTGTGAGAGTTTTCATCAGGACTCATATGCCCACTCTGATCATCTACTATGTTTAGAACCTTCAAGTTAATTTCATATACGTCATTGATAATATTAATGATTGGCGTGTAATTGGAACTAACCTTAATATTCTTTCGGAACGTCAAGAAGACAGACAGATCTATATGTCTTCAATTGGCATGTCATTTGAGACGAGCTCAAAATTCAGAGTCATAATTTGGATTGAATAAAGGAAGTATACAATACGCTATTATAATAACCGGTACTTCTGGTGATCGAAAGGAAAAGTCCGAAAGTTCTGGGCGCGCCTGATATAGGGATCGCCATATAATTTTGAATGTCCGCCGGCATTGTCCGTCACCTGTTGTGGTTCACGCTACTTTCCGGCGGAGGTCTAATATCAATAGTTCATCCCTATATGAACTTCGTCGAGGCTACAGGTTGCTTTTTCCCACCTTCCACATACCACCCCACGTCAAAGTGCTATTCTCAGATACTTTCCCATCTTTCTTATACCACCCCATTGTACATACATCTTTTTAGAATTTACTTCTAGACACGTCTTTAGCCACGCGTATCAATTTCGTCATATTTGTCGACGCATCACATATTTTAGCACGCGCAATTAAAAAATGATGTGACATCATATATGAGCACCTATTGTAAAATGTCCACTACGCCACAATGGCCAATGATTGACACGCCTGGCCAAGATGCTTGGTAAGCATCCCAAATTAGTCATCCCTATAAAAATATGAACTTTGCGTTTTGCACGCCTTTTTCAACTCCCCTACGTACTGCACGATACCACAAGGTCACGCGTCGGACAATACTCAATAGCGTGTGGTCACAATTCTTGGTAAGTTAAGTCATCGCTGATCCCTATATAATTAAGGCTCATGTGTGCGTTTGCAGGCTTCTTTTCCCTCATCAATCTTACACTGTCTACGTTGAGAACCCAAGTAGTTGGTTTCATTCGCAGGTACGTACTTATTTAATCGAATAAAATTAAGGTTGTTAATACTAACAAAACGTAGACAATGGCAAAATGGTCTGCGCTGTCACCAGATGAGCACAACGCCAAACACGTTAGAGTAGAAGGTATGCAATTGGTCAAATATTGAAGTCGTTATCATAACTTATATTTTGGCATGGTAGCACTATCAGCCTTGCAGGATCCCGGCGCTTGGGCCATCCTCGAGCGCTTCTTAACAACCGATTTGACTTTTGGTGACATGGAAGACAAATTCCATGCGTATCTCGGCGATCGTCATCGACCGCTTGAGTGGACACCCACTAAATTGGCGATCTTCTCTGGCGAGCGTGATGATGCATTGTCGTTAACCAATTTGCTTGCGCTAAAGCATCAATACATTCCTGAAGATGACGACATCGAGGAGGCCCCCCCTCTTACTGTAAGTGATGGTTTTTTATTTACAATTTACGCTGATTCAAAGTAGCCTAAGATCGATTTTCTAGAGATCTCATTTGACAACGATGGTGAGGAGGACGACATCGAAGTTATGGATTTTCCCATTCGCTCGGTAAGTATATAGCTTCTAGCGTAGAATCATGCTGATCAATTGTAGCGCAAGAATCTCTTCCTGGACATCGAAGCCGGTGAAGAGGACAAGTCGGACGACGAGATTGAAGGTGGCGTGCTCAGCCGCGCCAGTGTGACGCTTTTGCCGGCGCCAAGACATAACCTAGCCGACGCAATTCACAGAATCGAGCAGAGCTATCAAAGTGGCTCTAGCAGTACGATTCATCGACGTTCGCCAGAACACACTCGCAAAACCGCCCCCCTTCCAACAAGGAATATCCCTACGAGGATGTACGTCTTCACAGTCAACGGTGAGTGTTTTTTGGCAAACATTTACAGCGCTCAAATGCATTGCAGTCTCCGCGCGAGAGTTCCTTGCAGAGCACCTGGAGAAGCAAGGTCACTCTGTTGTTATATCGCCATGGATAGCGGCCCACCTTTACGTGACCTCTGATAGTCCCCTCACCATCATGTCAACTGTCCCCGAATCCCTCAAAACGTCAATGAAGAAATGGGACCGTATAAGCAACGAAGAAGAGGCCGTAATCAACGCGCTACGATTGAAATTCCCTTACCCCGCTTGGCTTAGAATCAAGCGGGGGAAGTATAGGGACTCCATCGCTTATGTTTACGAACCTGAGCAGAAAAATATGTTCATGACCGTGCTCATTCCTCCCAAGGAGTTCCCTTATGACATGCCGAAAGGCGCCACAGCGCTATTCGACCCTTCACGCCTACCTACCCCGCTGTCCGACATCCTTCGCGATGGAGAAGTTGTCGGGTATAAATTTAAAGGCGAGGAATACTATAGCGGTCTCCTCAAAAAGAACTTTCATCGTTACTGCACCGAGTTGGTGCACGTCCCTCACCCAGACGCCATCCGACTTCACGTCCAATCGGGTTGGGATACCCCCTTCTGCAGAAAAACCGAAATCTCCTTCTCTAAGCAGCTGTTGCGTCAGGGCGACTTGGTTCGCCTCACTACGCCAGACTTGCTTGGGCAGATTTGCACGGTCATAAGCACTGACCACGCATTTGGGGGTTCGGTGAAGTTGGGATTCAAGTTGGATGGTCGAGAGAAGGCCATCGAGGCTAAACTTGACCACGTAGAGCGCGTGTTCAATGTGGGCGATGAAGTTAGCATTATAGCTGGCGGCTACTTGGGTGTACAAGGTCATATCGTTGAAAGAGATGACGATATCTTCACTATTTGCCAGTTCGGAATGCTGGAAGAGGTATGTATTCAATTCTCTCCATACAATTCTACCTAACACATTCTATAGATCGAAATTTCCAAGTATTACTTGGATCGTCGTCCTATCGATTGGACCCTTCAAGGGCACATGCCCGCCCAGTCATACGTCGATCCTCTCCCGGAGCCGAACACTATTGAAATCGGAGACTATGTCAAAGTCACCATTGGTGATTTGGTAGGTAAATGTGGTGTTGTGCAGTGGGCCTCAGCAGGCTTCATTTGGTTCCAGGATGATGGTCAGCTGATGAGGGCCAACGACCACAGTGGTATGGCGCCGCCATTCATCCATGTTGCAGCTTCGACAGTCGAACGAACACGCCTTCCTCCCACCATCACCTTAACCAAGGACCTGTGGTTACGACCTCAGACCTGGAGATGCCGTCTGCGTCACTCGTGGTCCCGAATTTCGCACAGAGGGAGTTGTGCGCGCCGTGGACTTTGTTGGCGCTTGCTTGACATTAGAGACTGAATTATCAGAATTAGTACGACCGAACCCTAACAGCCACGTCGTCAATCCTAATTTTGTGCAGGTGACAGTTCCCATTCGATTCGTCATGAAGACGCGTAACGCTCCCCTCGACACCTTCAACAAGTTCATCAACAAGGAAGTGTTCGTAATTGGAGGCGTCAAGAAGGGCTACCGTGCGACGTTGAACGACATATCTACCGACACTTGCATTATTGCTGTCCACGGTCAACCTCGCATGACCGTTAGACTGCTGTGATGTTGCGACTCAGTTAGTCGTTTCCTTTATATCTTAACGGTCTCACCAGCTTATCATTTGTATAGCTACGGTTGTCGCTTAAATGGCGCCATGATCGAATGGATCCGATTTCACTTCGTTCTGTGAAATGCGCAGAAAGTCACATGTGGCGCTGCCATCCCGAAGCATAACCCCCCCACCTGAGAAATCCAGTATCGTCCTCTGCCGACCGCGGTCCACTCGTCACCTGGGCCTCCTGGTCCCAGGAGGATCTTGCTGTGACAGTCCTCTCAAATTGAGACGACAGGAAGACCCCTGGACCGTCAATGCGAACGACATCGCTGAATCAGCCCAACCAAATCCTCGCGGTATGTCTTCTCTAATGTTATTATAACGCGACACTTACTTTTATTCTAGACCCTATATGCTGGCTAAAAGAGTTCTCTTCGCAGTTTCATCGTTACCACGCCCTTTTTAATGTTTCTGCAGGATTCCAGAATGCCAAGTTGCTGAAACGCCTAGCTTACACTCATTCTCCCTGATCCATTCTGCGGTCTCAACGGCCTTGCTCCCCCGGGTCACATCGCAGCTTGGTGCACTGCCAAGACTGCAGGTGGCGCAAAGGTCGACTACCACATTCCTGTGGAGTTTCTCACTCCAGCTCAACCCCGTAAAAAAGAGCAGGAGTGCTTTATCATGTTCGGTCAATACCGAGGGGGTATTCGGACCATTTCCAAGTGTAACACCAAGGATCGCACTCTCGAGGTCAAAATTCTTCCGAGCTCGAAGGTTACTGTTACCGTAGCTATCGGCGACGTCTGCCTGGTGGAGCCTACCAAGCACATACATTAAGTATCGCACATTTAGGCATTATTCTGTTGCATACGGACATTTTGTGGAATACATATATATACCCTTCAATGTACAGTCAGGTTAGTTGCTACCGGTCGCACATCTACCAAAATTTTGAAATGTAGTAGATAGCATCATCAGTAACATGTATACCCGCAAATCCAACACAAATACCAATACCCAGGATTATACTGATTAGCATCTTACCGGATGTTTCAGAGTACACCTTGATATAATGTGATACTGACAACCCGAGCCAGTCTCCTTGGTCACTGGCCTCTTTGTATCGTGCCTGGATAAGATTGCCCGAAAAATAAGGCAGAAGGATATTCCTTTTGGAAACATCCAGGTGCGCAATCATCGACATAGTGCCCAGGCGAGCTTCTGGTTCCTGATAGCTGTAAATTCTGTTTTGATGCGGCTTCTCGTTTACTTCAGGTGAAATGCTTGCGCAGTGGTTGGCACCACGGGAGCTTGGTAAGTGCACAATACTCTGCGATTAGCCCCTACTGATTGTCTGACCCTCTGGGCTACATCAGATATCGCATGCTACTAATACTACTAGCATTTGGGGCACACTAATCCGGTGGATAAATTCTTACCGATTGATGACATTTCACGAGTCTGAAAAGAAGCATTATCCCAAGAGCTTCGTTTTATGCACTGGACCGAAAGTTATGCTATGGTTCGCAATAACAAAGATGAGTACCATCTAGTAGCATCCTTCAAAGCTTCACTCCTGATACAGTCCCGACAACGTGCTTGACCACCAGGTACATATCCTGCATGCCAGGATCTGCGACATCCCACACCAATGGACGCACTTCATCGATCTTATAAGAACTAGACCCATCGTCTGCGTTCATACTTAGTTTATTGATCTCTCTGTCAGAATTGGCGTCTCATAAGAACCAACTCGGATCACAGACGAGTTCTTCTACAGATACCGGCTGGGTTAAATACTGGGTCAAGTAGCGTGTTCCAGGACCCGCACCCCATGTCTCTCGCATATGAAATCACACTCACAATATGCGAGTTAGTTTACAGCAACCCTCACGGTTGTCAGCACTTGCTTCCGCTCTTGGCGGTTAATCGTGCAATGTGTGATGTCGCACTAACGGTCCTGTGGAGGGAATTGCCTACTGCACTACCGCTCCTTCATCTTATGCCGGAGGACGTCATCGAAAGGCATTTAGCAGTGGACAGCGTCTGGCGCTATGTGAGTCGTTTTGTCATTCGTGATATGGGCAACCCTCACGCTGCCTTAGATATTGCATGGTCCTCCTTCACCCTCGCAACTAGACCGATTTCATGTCTACGCCCCTCGCGTCCGTGCCATCATCTCACGAGAGCGCGCTCTCACCTATGATACGATCGAAGCTTTCGCAGCCATACTTCGTTGCCACACCTCCATGACTGATGCCCCCTTCCTTCCTAACCTAACCTGCCTGCGACTCGCCCATGGGAGCGATCCCGTCCTCGAGTTCGTACCGTCCATGATTAACAGGGGTTTGGAAACCCTCGCGATCCCACAGGCGGTAGTGGAGCTAGAGCCTATTCTAACCCGTATCCTGGAAGTGCTGCCTCCCATCCGCAACCTCATCTGCATTGAGATCACTAATCTCACACGTCTTCGTGATTTTACTCGTCGCATTCACCTTCTCCCCACCCTTCGCGCTCTAACAGTAACTCTTCTCGACCCCGAGGGCATGGAAGCGATCTTTTCGCACCCCTTCCTACGTAACCTAACAGTTATTGTAGACAGACAGTTGTACCTGCCGCAGCATACACCAACTTTTCATCATCCCTTACACTCTTTCAGCATCAAATTCCGGAAGTCTTGGCTCGGCGGCGGTATGGGCGCGGACGATTTGGACGCTGCCCTCACCCTGTTACGAAGGGTTAGGCCCCCTTGTGAGCAGTTGAGCATAACGCTCGGTCTTCACGTTGATGGCCCCGCCTTGGGTAAATTCATCAGCTCCCTCTTGCCCGAGCCGAGTCGCGTTGCCCTCACCGAGTTCTCAATCTTTGACCTCTCGCATTTCACTGTGGATGTAGAGGCTATCACCAATTGCCATAGCGCCCCATTCGAGCTAAAATTTCTTCAACCGCTTTTCCAAGTTTTGTTGACGCACATCGACCTCAGTTGTTTTAATATGTGCCTTCTTGATGACGACGATCTCTTTGATCTTTCTGTTAGCCTGCCTCAAATAGAAAGTCTATTCCTAGGCTGCTCACGCTATTTCCCAACCCCTCCAAGAGCATCGCTAGTCGGTGTCTCGCATCTTATACTCCATTGCAGGGCTTTGAGAGAGCTAGGTCTTGTTTTCAGTTGTAGTCTGGGAACGATGGACCTCGACCTCCTCCCCCGCAACAAGTGGATCAACACGTTAACTGTGGGAGTTAGCCCTCCGTACAATGACGTTGCCGTTGCGGCTTTCCTTGGTCGTTCCCTACCTTCGGTCAACACCATACACGTAGAGGATTACGATTCATTGCTCAGACCAGCTAACTACATCCTTTATGATCGTCTGAAACGAGTTGAACGTTGGCAGAACATATTAGACAGGAGGTCATCGCTTATATATGACTTTGGCCTATAGTGTAATTGCTGTGCAAACTACCAAACAGTGACCTCAACGTATGATGTTAGTTAGATTTGCCAACACTATGATTAGTTCGCCTCCATATTATGTAATTGTCATTGCTGATCCCTACAAATCAAGTAGCTTGCCTAGCTTACGTAATATTTCTCTCTTCTTCCTTAATACCATCCTCTTGTCCATATCGTTAAGGAACTTGTGGTCTCCGTAAGGTGGGGAGGAGCACTAACATTTTGCACCAACCATGGATAAAGCACGCCCAATCAAACGGGTTCGTTTTCAAGAGGTAGTGCGCGACAATGCCAATACTTTAGAAAGTGAGTCGTTATGTTCACACCAGAGATTTTCTTATATGGAAAACCCTATCAGCCTCGTCCAACTCAGAGTCTAACCAGACTAGCTCTCCGTCTGCAGAGGACATCTGCACGTGGACTCATAAAGCCCAAGCAACGGCCCCATGTTTCATTAGAGATGTTTATTCAATGAGGGAAAGCGCTAGCACAGGTTAGTTTTGCTATCCTAACCGAACACTTACTGAATCACAACCAACTACAGGACCTAGATCCAGCTTTTACTGGCTGGGACATGTTCCCTGTCGAATTGTGCACATCATTGGTGTGGTGGTAGGAATCGATGTGCGCGAGAAAGGAACGCTGTACACCGGTGAGCTAACAGTTCCCCTGTGGTGTTACGACTGGGATGAGTCGAGCTATCTGTGTCTGAATAGACAATCGGCAAGATGCCAGATAGACGTGAGTCTTCTCTCGAATGAGAGGTCAAGGTTTCTGGCTAAGGCGAGTGTCGCTGACTCCCTTAGAATAGTAGTTCTCAGACAGTAAGGTTGGAGACCTTACTGAAGGACAATGTTCCAGGTAAAACCCAGTAGATTAAAGTAAAGAATACAATCGTTAGTAGCTAGGTCTATATACCGAATGTTCAAGCAGAGCTTGTAAATGGTTATCAAGATAGAAGCATGATAAGAAGAAAGATAAGGCGGACAGCCCGCTTGGCGAAGATAACAGATAAGCATGATACGGACAGCCCGTTTGTAAGCGAGATAAGAAAAATGAGGATAGGGGTCTAAATGTTACTGTAACATGTAGCATCCATACTGATTCCTGTTGTAAAGTCGACGATTCCATGGAGGTGATCGACTGTATGCTTCGCCACCCCGGACCCTTGGCCCACCTGGATGCTAATGCAAAAGCAGCATTATGGCCAAGCGGATGGCGCCCCGCTCCTGCTCCAGTTTCAGTTCCTCCGCCTCCTGCTACTGCTATCGGCTACTCTGTAGAAGTAATCGGTAAAGTCATAGAATTCCATAACCAGCGACAAATTAATGCCAAATCCATAAGTGCGTTCTTTTTGTCTCTCTGACTCTCAACTGACCCTTCAGAGGCCTGTGAGTCGACGAACGATCAATGGAAACATGCCATTACCGTCGTCGAACTTCACAAGTCCAAATACTCAGTGCCAAAGCCGTTCAAGATCCTGGTTGAGGTCGACCCTCCGTCGCTGATTCCCTCAAAGTGTCCATTGCGCGAGCCATCCTCTCCTCTGATGCATAGCGCGGCCTCTAAGTTGTCAAGTTTTGTTATACCTGGTTCAATAGTAAGTGCTTGGCCATACACTACTCCTCTCTAACTTGGTTGCATAGGACCCCCCTCAGTTTCGGCATCCATCTCAGTTGCGTACGTCAGACCTCACTGACAAAACCTTTCAATTATATCTCCAGCATTATTTTCGACATGCGCCCGGTGATGTACCTCACTTTGATTATCGTCAATTTTTTCTGATGCAGACACCAGGACAGTCTACATCACCACCCACGATGCTTTCGCATCTACGTTGGATTCCAGAGCTGGCCCTTCTCGCCAACCGAGTGGTCCATGCCGAAAAGCAGCGGCGCACCCCAACGGACGCAGGGGGAGAGAAGGCAGCGCAGACCCGGAAGTCGTTTATCTCTCGTTTTAGCTCTGACCACCTGCGCGTAAAGATGAAGAGGCTTTTTATGTGGGCAGTACTCCAGCTTTACGAACAAGGTAGTATTGTACTCTATGATGGACTTTTGGATGCCCCAACTGCGTCTGTGTCCATAGTGCCCTGCGACTCCGCCATAACTGACACGGCGAGCTCCCCAGCTCCCTCTGTTGTTCTCCTCTCCAGCACGATATTCTCCTCTCCTGACGCTACCAAGTCCGAGATTTCTGAAGACAACGCTTACTTATCAGATCCGCCTTATTACGAGGAAGACGAGGCATACACTTCTGTAACTGCGGCCCTCCTCGTTCAACCTGTGCGAGACATCATGTGCACAAGAGGTATTAGAGGAAAGAGCATTAGGGTTAGAGCAGAGGACATCGCGAAGGATTTGAAAAGGTTAGACAGGCGTTGGGCGCGTATTGACTTGCGGGCCGTTGAAGAAGCCATAGACACCATCGTTATTGACTAATTACTAACCTCTTGTAACTTCTCTTACCGCTGTATTTAGTTCAAACCCGTCCAATCTTACCTTGGTCAAGTCTGACAGTTGTATTAGATTCGTCCGACTTATTTACTGCACTGGAAGTCGACGGGGTGCACAACAGATGTTCGCTAGAGCGAGTAAGCAGGCATCTGCAAATCCCCACTTCATTCCTGCCAAATGCAGGCAATGATGCACATGTACGTTTCGATCTGTTTGATCCAATACAAGGTCGACTAACATATGCTTTGCTAGTCAGCCGCCCAGGGACGCCTCTCACCTCAGAATTGGAGTCAAGCTCAAATTCGGGCCCTGGGAGGATGATAGCGACTATTCAGACATGGAAGGTATCGGACCTGTTATCAACAAAACCAATCCTGACATTCGGGCTGTTATATATACTTGATCAGATGAAACCTCCTAGCTGGCCCTCGTGGATATCTTAACTATGATGTGAGTGGGGATTTGTGATTCGAGTATGTCCTTGTTACCAGCCGCCATGTCCTTCACCTGCTACCCCCCAGATTTCTCAACGCCAGCACGTACTCTACCTCGGCCAACTCGTCCAATTCTCTCCTTAGCTCTGCCCGCCTAAATTCTAACAGTAACCCTAGCATATAGCGCATCATCTCTCCGTGCGCTGGGTGACGCACGCTGCCCAGCCCTTGGTTGGCTCTATGGATGTTCTCGCGAGCCGTCGCTAGCCCCCGAGCCCATAAACGCTGGATCCCCATGAGACTCGGAGTGCACAAGTAGGTTACACTCACCTCCACCTCCTCCGTCACCATGAATACCCTCTCCTCAGGGTCATCTTCCATATCTGCTTGCCCTTGTACCTGCGCCCGACCTTGCACCTGTGCCTGGCCGAACATATGAGCGGTTCTGCATATGCAGACTGGCTACTCACCTGATTCGGCGGACATCCTGAGTGATGGCGTTAGATTACAGTTAGTTAATGACTTACCTGAGCCATGTTCTAACGCATTGGTATAGGTAGTTGGTAGTGGATGAGAAGAAAGTGCGTCTTACGGTGGGCTAAGGAATTTATAGGGAAGCACTTTGGTCAGTATGTGTTGGGAGAGAAGAAAGTGTGTCTTACGGTGGGGTACTGATTTATAGGGACGCACTACAATGCTTATATCATTATTGTACCTCCTACGTTCACCAACATTAACTAACGCTCACTCTGTAAATTAGCTAGTGTCACTTAATACATGGGATGTTTCACAGGCTTTGCATGAATGTCAAAATCTCATATCATGACTGCACCTTGTCAGACAAGATTTAAGAGTGAACGAATGTCCTACTGAACGGAAGGATGAACCCCTGTTAATCACTGACTTTTCAGTGCCAAAAGTAGATAAATAACCCCTGTCTGTCTGAAATGCGAAAATAATAATCTTGGTGCCCAGGTGTAAGTAACTGAACCATAATCACAATTTCAGAGAAATAGAAGTCTATGGAAGCATAGAATTATCTGTCCATAATATGATACCTTGTTGGAAGAATCTGGAAAACCATCCACACAGGAGTATTGATATTTCGAAGTCATATGTACCATCCGCACACCCATCAAGGAATCAAATCTGGCATTCACATACTATTCATAAGTAAATGCAAGTCATATGAACCATCCACAAATCAAATCTAGCATCTGCCTAACATTCACAAACCTCTGCAAATCAAATCTAGCATCCGCGTACCATCTGCAAGTCAATGTCAGTCATACGTACCATCTGCAAATCAAATCTAGCATCCGCGCACCTTGTCTTCTGACATTCGCAAGTCATACGTACCATCCGCACACCCATTAACAAATATAACCCAGCATCCGCAAGTCAAATCTAGCATCCGCACTCCTTATCTCCGACATTCGCAAGTGATCTTTACGGTAGTGATACAATCAAAAGTCAAGCAAAACAAAGTCAAGTCAAAACAGAATTTTGACCTTGGCCAACGCATCAAGCAATCACACAAACCAAGCAAAATAAAGGTAGCATCAAACAGAGTCAATGCATCATCTGCATGCCTCATCTTTGCGCAAATGGAGCATCCGCACATAATACATATCAACCTGTTCACCTTTCCGTACATCAAATCAAGCATCCCAGAAAACCTTTACAGAAACATAGTATCCATATGCAAATAATCAACAGGATAAATTCAAGTCCCCCCCACCCCCCGCCCATGTTAGCTGCCTCGGTTAGTGTCTCGGTTGGTGTCTCGGTTAGCTAGGTTTCGGTGTCTCAGTTAGTTAGTTAGGATCAGGAATGCATTCTCTCAGTTCCCAGCCCCATTTCACAATAACCCTCTGCCAGACTACAATCGGTCCACAACTCAAATTCCATCAAAATCAACAAAATCCCCGCAATACCAACACAATCTCGCTCCGCCCCCCAGCATTCAAATCATCAAAAATCACAAAAATACTGCAAAATCCAATCAAGTAAACACACAAATCTGACCTCCCCCAACGCATCACCCAAGACAAGCACCACCGCAACAACAGCTACAACATCCGCACTCAACAAAAATGAACAAAAATCAATTCACAATTCCATTCTCAGTCAAGACCACCATAGCAATAACACAGTCAACATCAAGCAACACCCCAGCAGCAACAACACAAAAATCAACCAAGATCAAGTCAAGTCAGAATAAAATTTCGACCTCAAAGACACATCCATACAGACAATCAAATAGCCAAAGTCAACCAACATTGCAGCAATAAATTCACAACAATCAAGCAAAACAAAGTCAAGTCAAAACAAAATTTCACCAACACGCCCAAGACTATCGCACCAAAAACAGACACCCAAAATCAAGCTACGTGCACCACAGCAACATCACATCAAGTCAACACAAGGTTCTGTCCTTATCTAACGCAACACCTCAGACATATGTACCAAACCAAAAACACTGCCTCCGCCACAAGTCCAATAGCACAAAAATCAACCCAAGATGATACAAAATATTCTGACCACCACCAATGCATTTCCCTAGACTATGATAGCAATTAAACAGCACAATCAAGAAAATCCAACCCTCCCACCCATTAGAGCTAGGCTTTAGCTTAGGATCAGAAACATATTATCTATACACCCTATGTGTTAAGACCATGCACAAAGGGTAGGACTGATTCCAAGGGGCTTGGCTTCAGCTCATGCGCTGCGCCCCTTACCCGAGTATGTGCCCTTAACTTCAGAATGAAGTCCGGAGAAAGTCCAGTGAAGTCCGAAGGACTTCCGGAGAAGCGTGGGAAACTTCGGAAGGACTTTCCGGACGAGTGCGAGAAACTTCCGGATGAGTGCGGGAAAGTTCCGGAGGAACTTCCGGAAATTACGATGGAGTTTCGTCCTGACGGGGATATGTGTAATGGCTACTCAGGACAAGTCCTGAGTAGAAGGAAACAGAGGAAAGGCTGCAAGGACAAAGTCCGAAGCAGAATAGGTCCGGAGGACCGCGGGAAAGTTCCGGAGGAACATCCGGAAACTCGGAGGAATGGAGGATCGGATGAGTGGATGAGTGGAGGAGCGGAGGAGCGGAGGAGCGGAGGAGCAGAGCTCCGGCCTAGGGAATTCCTCCCTAGGCCTGAGATGGATAATGACTAAGTCGGAGGACTAGAACTGTTACGAGGACTTAGGGTGAAGGCTAGTGCGAGGACTAATATGTGTATGATATTCAGACTGAGGAAATACAGGAGTATCTACTGGGGTTTATATACTAGAGGCAAGTCTGTGCAGATCAGTAAGCAGAGGGGTAAGGCTATGTACGAGCATGTGGAAATGTATTAGAAAATAAGACGGATCATAGGAAATAAACTCGGAGATGAAATGAGGTACGGAAAATGAGGAAGTCTAACTCAAGAAGGAACATACAAAGGGATAAGGCACGGAAGATAGACGCGGGTCGGATCCGGATGTCCGGAGATGAATGCGTGATAGGTCTGGGTCCGGAACGCAAGGAAGATAGATGTGGGTCGGATCCGGATGTTCGGAAGTCCGGAGACAGGTGATTTACCATAAGGGGATGGGCGCTGATTTAAGGTTTGGGTTCGGACATGACAGATAGGTCGGATCCGGAGATCCGGAGATGTGGATATCAGATCTGGCGTCCGGATATCAGATGCAGGAGTACAGGGATCCGGACAGATAGAGGATTGGGTCTGGAGACATGGACAGGAGGTCCGGAGGTCCGGATGAGGCGTGGGAATGTCGTCAGATGTTGGTCCGGAATGTGGGATATGACACTATGGCTGTATATTATATATATCATCACACATTTTCCTATTGTTTTTGATGTCCTATCTGATGGAATGGATCACTGGGATTCCATTGCACTATGTTTTAAGGAAATTGGTGGTCAGGAACATGAGTTATGCTCATTTTACTGTTGATTGACTGATTCAACTGAATCACCATATTAGGACAGTATAAATCCATCAAAAGACATCAAATATCTAATAAATACACTGATATATATATACTATAGTGATTGAGATATATGATTTTGCACTCATTTCTAATATTGTCATATTGTACCTACTGGTCCAGGAGGAGGGGGTCAGCTATCATCTGACAAAAAATTGCTGGAGCTTCAATACTTGGTGTGTCATCTTTAGAAACATTTAAAATGATAGGAAGAAGCTTTCCTGGATGATAGGTCATGTCTAGTATGTCTGACTTAAGATGGGCCTCTACCTACTATAGGCACAAGTCTATCATCTGACAAAAAATTGCTGGAGCTTTAAGACTTGGTGTATCATCTTTAGTGACCTTGAAAATGGTAGGGAGAAGCTTGTTTGGATGATACAAGATATCTAACATGTTTGACTTCAGACAGGTCTCTAGCTACTATAGGCACTAAGTCTATCAGCTGACAAAAAATTGCTAGAGCTTTCAGACTTGGTCCATCATCTTCAGTGACCCTTCAAATGGTAGGAAGGCACTTGCTTAGATGACAGATGATATCTAGCACATCTGACTTCAAATCACCTTGAGTTATCATAGACCTCAAGTCTATCATCTAACAAAAAATTACTAAAGTTTCAAAACATGGTCCATCATCTTCAGTGACCTTTAAAATGATAGGGAGAAGCTTGGTTGGATGATAGATGAGTTATGCTCATTTTACTAAGTATCATTATATGTTATTGTCTTACCATATTGAGATGGTGTAACTCAATTGAAACACCTAGCATTCTTCACAAACAGCTATATATGTTCTATAGTGTTATGAACATATGATTTTCAGGTGATATCACAACATATCAATATAGTATGTACCAGAGAAGAAGGAGGGGGGGGGCCTACAACCTTACAAAAAATTGCTAATATCCCAAAATTTGGTCCATTGAATTCTATGACCTTACAAATGGTGAGCAGAAGCTTTGTTTGATTGTTCATGATGTGAGAGACTGATAATAAGACAAAATGATCAACTACCATACTTGCCAAGTTTAATACTTCATAAAAAATTCCTAGAAGTCCAAGACTTGATACATCATCTTCTGTGACCTTGAGAATAGTGGAAAGCAGTTGATTTAGATCATGGAGGATGTTAATGATTACTAGTGAGAGTTGAGCCTTTACTAGCATATCCACTATATCTGGTGTATCACAAAAAATTCCTGGAAGTTTAAAGCTTGATGCATTATCTTCTGTGACCTTGAGAATAGTGGAAAGCAGTTGATTTAGATCATGAGGGATGTTGGTGATTACTAGTGGTAGTTGACCCCTCACTAGGATATTCACTATATCTGATGTTTATGAAAAATTCCTAGAAGTTCAAAACTTGGTGCATCATCTTCTGTGATCTCAAAAATGATGGAAAACAGTTGTCCCAGATGATTGGTCATCTTTGTGCTTACTATCTACAGGCCACCCCCTACTGCCATATCTATCATATCTAGTGTTTCATAAAAAATTCCTAGAAGTTCCAAATTTGGTGCATCATCTTCTGTGACCTTAAAAATGGTGGAAAGCAGTTGATTTAGATGATAGGTGATGTTGGTGATTACTGGTAGGAGTTGACCCCTTACTAGCATATCCACTATATCTGGTGTATCACAAAAAATTCCTGGAAGTTCAAAGCTTGGTGCATTATCTTCTGTGACCTTGAGAATAGTGGAAAGCAGTTGATTTAGATCATGGGGAATGTTGGTAATTACCGGTGGTAGTTGACTCTTCACTAGCATATCTACCATATCTAGTGTTCTATAAAAAATTCCTAGAAGTTCAAAACTTAATGCATCACCTTCTGTGACCTTGAAAATGATGGGAGGCAGTTGATTTGAAAGATTGGTGATGTTGGTGATTACTTGTGGTAGTTGACCTTTGACTAGCATATCCACCATATCTGGTGTCTTATAAAAATTTCCTAGAAGTTAAAAACTTGGTACATCATCTTCTGTGACTTTGCAAATAGTGAGAAGCAGTTGTTTCAGATGATTGCTCATGTTGGTAATTACTGGTGGGAGTTGACCCTTTACTAGCATATCCACAATATCTGGCATCAAATAAAAAATTCCTAGAAGTTCAAAACTTGGTGCCTCATCCACTGTGACCTTGGAAATGATAGAAAGCAGCTTATTTGGAAGATTGGTGATTTTGATGATTACTACTCTGAGCTGATCCCCTACTACCACATCTACCATATCTAGTCTATCATAGAACATTCTTGACAGTTCATAACTTTGTGCATCATCTTCCCTAATCCTGAAATTGGTTGGAAGCAGTTCATTTTGATGATTGTTGATGTTGATGATCAATGGCTATGCTTGATCTCTACTGAGTTCAGCACCTTATCAAAAATTCCTAGCAGTTTATGACTTGGTTCATTATTTTATGTCACCTTGAAAATAGTGGAAAATAGTGGATTTGAATGATTAGTGATGTTGGTGATCACTGGTCATAGTTCATCCTCTACTGGCATCTTCACCATGTCTAGATTCTATGCAAAATTTCTAGTAGTTAAAAATTGCTGCTTTAACTAACTGACACATTCTAATAGCCCAAATTCTATGCAAGTCTGCTATCTCATAAAGAATCCATTGATGGCTCAGTATTCCAGAGAAGAAGTTTGTTAAAATATTATGAATATTTAAGATCTTTGGTAAGAATCAACCTTTGATTATCAAATCCATTAATGATGTAAATGTCACGTGAATTTTTCACTCAGAGTGCATGTTTATGTTGGTGCTTATACATCTTGAATGCAGACTTTTATAATTCTCAACTTGAACAAAGTTTGAAGATGCATCGTATATTCAATATGCATGACATAGTTTTCATCATCTTTCAGATGGTCTATGCTCTCATTATCCAAGAAGGTTCTGGTGGACTTGGTGCTTTTGCTGCATTATCTACAACATCTTCAACTATCTCTGAGGCTGTCCTGCAGCTTCTATGGAAGAAGCTAACCTCTATGGAACCTCTTATTTATCTTCTACCACATGATCTTATTCAAGAATATGAAAGTTCAGATGGGGTATTGAAGTGGGTGAGTGATTGATTATTATTTTAGAATATTTTTGGTTTCTGATTAAGAACTGCTTGATATAGAGATTTCTTAGGACTCCACAGCAGTCTGATCTAGAGAGATTTCAGTCATATGCCAGAAGAGTCAAAATGATCTGTGCTGTTGATGGCAAAGCACTCCAGTCCAGACATATCCATGTTTTTCAAACTCTGGCAGCCTTGCATGATAGGATCAGATCTGCAGGCTCCCTTTTGCCCTATCTCTATCATATAGAATTGATGGACAAAAGTGACTGTTTGATCCAATATCTGGACAGACTTTTGCTTCCAGGATTGCAGACTTTGATACTGCCTCCTCATATGATCTTGCCACCAGATGTGCAGACTCTGCTGCCTCATCTGCAAAATTTGGTCTACATCTCAGATGCATTTCATACTAGCATGATTTTAAACTCTTTGTCCAACTGCACTTTCATGCACCGCCTCACCCTATCCTACATCCAATGTTCCTTGATGGCATCATTAGCATCTCTCCATCAGCTCATCAGCCTAACTCTTATCATCATTCCTGGAACATCTATCATGCGGAAGACCAGCTCTATTTCCAACCATTCTATTCGTATGGAGGTTCTAAACATTCAAGTGGAACCTAACCTGCACTCTTCAAATGTCTCTGTCAACATTGGTTTTCCAGCTATCATATCTCTTTTATCCAACCATCACATCATCTGTCAGGGCCTCAGCATCAATATCCACCAAGAATATTGCTTTGCAAATCTTATTCTGCATTTTTTCAATATCTTAACATCACTTCCATCAGTTGATGATGATGATGATGGATTCCTGGCTTGAGAGAATCTGGCTGGTTTCAGATTGAATATGCCATGGAATGAAGATTTCTTTGTGCTAGATGAAGAGAGTTTTCAGATTCCAAGAAATGGTTTGGCATCTTTGCATAGACTTGTCTATTTGACTGCTCTGGAGCTGGAGGACTTGGGAACCTGCAGGATTGATGATGATGCTTTGCTGAATTTGGCCATCAGTCTCCCTCATCTTCAATGCCTTTTGTTAGGCACCAGATCATTATGGGAGGAACCTCCAAGGGCCACTCTGTGGGGAATATCTCTTATCCTGCATCATTGTTCTCATTTGGAGATGCTTGGTCTTCTCTTCAACTGCAGCTTAGGATATCACAGCATAGAATCAGCATACAGCAATAATCTTATCAATACATTGCATGTAGGATTCTCACCTCCTTATAGTTCTTTCACTGTGGCAGCATTTTTTACTCATTCATTGCCTAATCTTGATATAATCATAGTAGAGCCTATAGAATCTCATAGCAAACATTCCTGGAGTAGAACTGATCTTACTCTTGCTGATCGTAACATTAGGATTCAAGAATGGGGCAGTGTTAAGACCATGCACAAAGGGTAGGACTGATTCCAAGGGGCTTGGCTTCAGCTCGTGCGCTGCACCCCTTACCCGAGTATGTGCCCTTAACTTCAGAATGAAGTCCGGAGAAAGTCCAGTGAAGTCCGAAGGACTTCCGGAGGAGCGTGGGAAACTTCGGAAGGACTTTCCAGACGAGTGCGAGAAACTTCCGGATGAGTGCGGGAAAGTTCCGGAGGAACTTCCAGAAACTCGGAGGAATGGAGGATCAGATGAGTGGATGAGTGGAGGAGCGGAGGAGCGGAGCTCCGGCCTAGGGAATTTCTCCCTAGGCCTGAGATGGATGATTACTAAGTCGGAGGAATAGAACTGTTACGAGGACTTAGTGTGAAGACTAGTGCGAGGACTAATATGTGTATGATATTCAGACTGAGGAAATACAGGAGTATCTACTGGGGTTTATATACTAGAGGCAAGTCTGTGCAGATCAGTAAGCAGAGGGGTAAGGCTATGTACGAGCATGTGGAAATGTATTAGAAAATAAGACGGATCATAGGAAATAAACTCGGAGATGAAATGAGGTACGGAAAATGAGGAAGTCTAACTCAAGAAGGAACATACAAAGGGATAAGGCACGGAAGATAGACGCGGGTCGGATCCGGATGTCCGGAGATGAATGCGTGATAGGTCTGGGTCCGGAACGCAAGGAAGATAGATGTGGGTCGGATCCGGATGTTCGGAAGTCCGGAGACAGGTGATTTACCATAAGGGGATGGGCGCTGATTTAAGGTTTGGGTTCGGACATGACAGATAGGTCGGATCCGGAGATCCGGAGATGTGGATATCAGATCTGGCGTCCGGATATCAGATGCAGGAGTACAGGGATCCGGACAGATAGAGGATTGGGTCTGGAGACATGGACAGGAGGTCCGGAGGTCCGGATGAGGTGTGGGAACATCGTCGGATGTAGGTCCGGAATGCGGGATATGACAGGCAGGATTTTGGAGTTGACCAAAGAGTCTGTAGATATTTGATCAAATCTATTTCATCTGCTAGCTATACTTTTTGTATATAATATCTCATAAATCAGCTTGGTTTTCTGTAATCTTTGCTTGGCATGAATATATTTTTATTGAGCTACTAGAGCTAAAATTGCACTAGAGCCTAATACAGAGTCATTTAAGCCATGCTCTGAAATATAGTGCAAAGGCATTGTTAATATGATGGTTCAAGCCAGACAAAATATCATCAGTACCTCAGTAAGTGTATTATTCTTTCATTTGAAATCATTGAACAAGTTTAAACCAGAAGTGCTTGGGTGAGCTGCTATGAAACTTGTTATTCCAAAGAAAAAATTACTTACTTCTGATATTTACATCATTCATAGATGATGTTAGAAATGCTGTCCATCAGACAGTGAAGAGGGGAAGAGAATGCCCAAAAGAAGTACTTAAAAACAGTGTCTTGGAACTTCAATTATAACCCAGATCTCCTATGAAACTTTGCAACAAAAAATCACCTGGATGGACATCCTTATCCAACAGTGACCATGTTGTTTCAGACAAATCTATTCCAGAAATCACCAAGGGTTGGTTTATGTTTATATGATGTAAATATCATCATTAACATCATCTTCTATAACTTTGAAAATAATGGGAAGCAGTTGATTCTATGATTGATCATGTTTGTGATCACTATCTGCAGGAACCCCCTCACTATCATATCTATCAAAACTAGTGTCTCATCTTCTGTGATCTTGAAAATAGTGAGAAGCAGTTGATTCATATGATTGGTGATGTTGGTGATCACTAGTGGCAGTTCACCCCTCACTAGCATATCTGCCATGGCTAGTGTATCATAAAAAAATTCTTAGCAGTTTATACCTTGGTACATCATCTTCTCTAATGTTTGAAATAACAAGAAGCAGATGATTGGGAAGACTGGTGATGTTAGTGATTAATTGTTGTACTTGACCCCTTACTGTCATGTTCATTCTGTCTGATGCCTCATAAAAAATTACTAGTAGTTTATAACTCAGTATATCATCTTATATAGCATTTATAATAGTGGAAAGCAGTTTCTTCAGATGACTGGTGATGTTAGTAATTACTGGTTGTAGTTGATCCCTCACTAGCATATCCACCATATCTAGTGTTTTATCAGAAATTTCTAAAAGTTTAAAACTTGATATATCATCTTCTGTGACTTTAAAAATGATAAGAAGCAGTTGATTTGGACAATTAATGGTGTTGGTGATTATTAGTTGTAGTCAACTCCTTTCTAGCATGACCATAATGTCTGATACCTTATAAAAAATTCTGTATATCGTCTTTTGTGACCTTGAAAATAGTAGGAAGCAGTGTATTTGACTGATTGGTGGTGTTGGTGAACATGCCAAGTCCAGCACCTTGTAAAAATCATTAGCATCTTATAACTTGGTCCATTATTCTGTGTAACCTTGAAAATATTTAAAAAAAGTTGATTTGAATCATTAGTGATGTTGGTAATCACTGCTTGTAGTTCACTGCTTATTGATATATTTGCTATTTTTAGTGTCTTATAAAAAATTCCTGGTAGTTGAAAACTAGGTATATCATATAACAAAATGCAGCAGTAAAATAAATTGCTCTGAGCTACATAGCTAAAGATCAGAAAAATACCAAGGTGTCAAAGTCAGCAATAACTTGTGGTTGTTACTATCATCAGCATCAACATCTCCTTCTTTTCCTTCCTCATTAAGCACTAGGCTCTTGGATATCAGCATGGTATTGCTGGCAGGATTATGGATAGCATCTTGATGGGCAGCAAGAATAATGTGTCCAAAAAACTCTTGCAAATCTAGGGCCATAGAAATTTGGAAGAGATCTTGAATTCCAGTTCTCTCCAAAGCAGATATATCCAGATTTATCAAGATAGATGTAGGAACTCCTCCCTGAGCTCTGGAATATGCAGCTTGAGTGATTTGTTTGGCGATAGCAGGAAGGTTGGAGTTAGGAATGGGATGAACACCCACAGCCAACACTACATCCACAAGATCCTCATCATGAGCTAGAAGTGAATGTAAATTCGGCTGCTCCTCTTTACAAACCACAATATTTGGACGTCTAATGTCACAATGTCCATAACTGTGGGTGAATGTTGGACAGTTGGTGCACATAGGAAGCTTATCTGAGAGAGACTGTTCCAAAAATATGGCTGATGGTGCCACATGGTTGCAGGAAGTGCAAGACATTTAATCCAGACATCCTAGCAATGGAATGCATCTTGGACAATCAGGTGTCCCTATCTGAAATGACTTGGGAACTCCAAAGGACAACAGTCCAGTGGTCTTTTCTAGGGTATCAATATTTTGAGTGTAGACCCTCAAAAGATTGCCACGGCGGTCCAAAGAGTGGATAGCCTCATAAAGTAGGTTTTTGATAGGTGCCCTCTTTAGATAGTGCATCATGGTCTGAAACACTGATGATGACTTGGTGCAGTCCTACAAAAGAAGTAATGGGTTAGGTATTTCAAAAACATCTAGAACCTTTATATTATGGACCTGACATATAATAGGAAGCAGTAATTCAAAAGGATCAACTGCAGATGCAGATACAGCAGGAATGGATATGTCTGGACCTATAGAGAGTGTATGTAATAAAATAGAGTTTTTTAAGCATAAAATATTTCAAAAGATGGATTTTATCATACTACAAATGACAATCAGATTTTTGGCATTGAAGATGATATCCAGTACCTTCTGAACTTTTTTACCTCTAAAGGTCTCTAAGACAAAATTGCTTTGGGCAACATTGACAATAGATGAAGAAGATTCAGTATGATGAATTGATGAAGGTGAAACACATTGTTTTCTAGAACGGCGCTGATGCATGATTGGGCTAAAGCTTCTGGGTCAGCATATCTATCTAGAATTATTACAGTTGATCTCCCAGAATTACCTGACTTTCATGATGGTCTTCAATGCAAATGCTTTTGTGAATGCCAAATTGGACCAGTGTACATTTGAGAAATCCATATTTGAGAGTCCATCTATGGCCATCATAACAAATAGACCACAAGACCAGCTATCTTTTTGTTTTTGATCATCTGGTGGAGTGTAATGAAGAACCTTCTAGTTTTTGAAACATTGTTCAAGTGATTTGATCTCTGGATATGTTTCATATTTCAGCCAGTGCTCTAGGCCAGCAGCAGCATGCTGTAAATCCTGATAGCAAAATTATAATATCAGATGCCTAGATATTGTAGGTGGATTGAAAATTCTACTCACTTTTTGAGCCCATATAGGATGAATTCCCAAGCTATCAAAGAAACCTATTTCATGGGCTGACCAATCCAGGATCCAGTGAGAGGGACTGCCTCCACATAGAGGAAAAGCCCAACGTCTGGAGTCAAGCATTTTTTTTTTGGTCATCTAAGTCCAAGAAGTTAGAACCAGATCTAGTTTTAATATAGATGTCTGCTAGCCAGATTTCTCTCTAACTAGATGAAACAGTGAATGTGGACCCCATGTTGAATCTCACACGTCCCACCATATGGCTTCCTGCTCTGGAACAGCTTTATACATTGAATCCTCAGATGCATATTGGAAATGCAGTTCTCAATTTTTTTCTCATGACCAAGTGGTATCCTAAACATGGTCAAGGTTCTCTGAGATATGCTGATATGATGGCTGTGGCTCCTCTACTGGTCAACAATATGGACAGAATGCCAAACTTAAAGGAGATCCATACTTTTCAACAAAGACACTTCTTGCTTTCTTCTCAAGAACATCCTCCAACTCAAGTTGGTTTCATCTTGACCATATCTCAACATCACTGGGTGGCTATCTGTTAAGACCGTGCACAAAGGGTAGGACTGATTCCGAGGGGCTTGGCTTCAGCTCGTGCGCTGCGCCCCTTACCCGAGTATGTGCCCTTAATTTCAGAATGATGTCCGAAGGACGTCTGAAGCGTGGGAAAGTTCGGAAGGACTTTCCGGACGAGTGCGGGAAAGTTCCGGAGGAACTTCCGGAAATTACGATGAGGTTTCGTCCTGATACGGATACGTGTAATGGCTACTTAGGACAAGTCCTAAGTAGAAGCAAACAGAGGAAAGGCTGCAAGGACAAAGTCCGAAGCAGAATAGGTCCGGAGGACCGTGGGAAAGTTTCGGACAAACGTCCAGAAACTTCGGAGGATCGGATGAGCGGATAAGCGGAGCTCTGGCCTAGGGAATTTCTCCCTAGGCCCGAGATGGATATTGACTAAGTCAATAGACTAGAACTGATGTGAGGACTTAGAGTGAGATCTAGTGCGAGGACTAATATGATATTCAGACTGAGGAACTACAGGACATATACAAGAGTTTATATACTAAGGAAATAACAGAAAGATCAGTAAGCAAGCGTCCGAGGCTATGTATGAAGCATAAGCAAAGTTATCAAGCGCGAGTCGGAAATGAAGCATAGGTTAATGGATCAGTAAGCATACCGGTAGTAAGTATAACCGAGATACCGAGGACAAGGAATACCGAATAGAGGAATAGGCTGTGTTAACGTTATAGGCACAGGAAATGAATTAGGAAGCTTATTGTATATCGGATTGGACCGGATTGGACCGGACCGAATGTCCGGACAAGAAGCGTGGATATACAGGATATGATATTAGGGCAATAGGACAAAGGATGAATGATGCAGGCTAGCTGCAGAGGTATGGAGGTAAAGGGATCTGGACATGGATGCGCGGATGTGGATGTGCAGAGGTGCAGGGATCCGGATGGGTAGAGGACTGGAGACATGGATAGGGCGTCCGAAGGTCCGGATGAGGCGTGGGAACATTATCAGATGTAGGTCCGGAATACGGGATATGCCAGAATGCTATAGTTGAGAGGTTTATGTGCTTTGAGAGATTTTTGAGCATATCTCAAGCCTTTCAGTCTGGCATCCATGAGGCCAAACCAAATATTGGAAGGGATCCAAAGAATAGGTTGTGATTTCATAAAAGCTTCAGCCTGATTATTATAATTGTTCATGAGCAAATTAAAGTATGAAATTGATGGTCAAATACCTACCTGCTCTTTTAAATGAGGAAGCACCTTCAAAGCAGCCTGTCCACTCATTCTATACTCATCTCTACATCCATAAGCTCTTTGAGAAGCACCTCCACTGTAGATTTCATGCATCCATTGGCATTCTTTGAGATATCCATCTGTAAGATGATAGCCATCTCTATCAGAAATGGACTTGGGTTGATTGTTATTAGGTCTAATGGCCTCATAGCACAGCTGGTAAGCTGATCGGAAGCAGATCTGGTTAGGTCTTGCATTGGCCAAGAGCATTTCTGCCTGAATTCCTCCATATCTTCCCAGAGTGTTGGTGTGGTGAGTGATGCCTTTTCTAAAGCCTCCTTTCTGAAAAGATACCTGTAATGCATCAAGCCTCCAAAGACCCACAAATTGACCAGTGGGATTGAAGCTGATTCCTATATCCAAGTATAGTTCTCCATGATTCCTATCCATCATATAATTCCAGTCCAGGTTTGTGAAGTTTTTTTTCAAAGCTTCATAGGGAGAGTCATATCTGCCATCCTGGCCATCCTTAGTCCATAGTTTGATGCCTTTGCCTTCCAAGACAAAGAAGAAGGATCCATATGGTGCCAACATTGCTTGATCTTTGACTCTAGTTCTCATGCTTCTTTGAATTCTTTCAAATGCCACCTTGGAGACAGGAGTAGCCTTGGGTCTTTGGCTTCCAGGCTGACCAGATCCACCTTTTCTGGATTTATATCTGATTTCATGCACAGTGGTATCCACATAGGGCAGAGAAGAATTTGGTGCCTCCTGAGATATAGAAGGCAGGACCACCTCATTCCAAAATAAATCAATGACATCAAGAGGAATCCTGGTGGCCTTGAGAGATGAGTTGGTACGCTTGTGGATTATTCGTGGAAATAACAGCAGAAAATTGGAAGCATGATTTGCTGTGCTCAGCATTCCAAATGGCACATGAGATATGGAGCTTAAAGGAACAGACTTGGTCCACCACTCTTTTCGTGCAGTACCATCTGGACCCTGGTCATCAGCACTTTGAGGGATGAGAATATCCACATAAATATGGTTGTGCTTGTGAATGGGTACTTGATGATCAATTACAGGAGCCAAGTAGATTCCTAAGCTGAGGGCTGGGCAAAAGTTTGAAGTGACCCAGATGTAGCTGTCAATGTCCACTAAAACAGTGATTTCATCAGGAACATCCATATCCAGCTCCAGGTCTAATATGATTCTTTGGCCTCCAATGAGATGGGCTCCATAGACAAACAGAGTCTCATATGCTCCTTTTTTCTCTGCAGCTAGCCTTTGAGCATCTAGCAACATTTCAGATGCAGCCATGATCCTAATATCACTGGGGATTATTCTTTCCTCCTTAGGAAACATGGAGCTTCTAGACAGACTATGGCTTTGTGCTCTCCAATGACCAACTTGCCAGCTGGGATCATATGTGTCAGATACCCCAATTCTCATCATGCAATCCAAGGTATCCACTGGAGGGCCCAACCAAAACATCTGAGAAAAACTAGGCAGAATTCTGTATCCATAGTCTCTGAAGAGTATTGCAGATCCTAGTCCACTAATCCATGCACTTCTTGATGAGGACCATATTTCTCCAGCATCCATGATAGGCTGCATGGACTCTAGAGTAGGTCCACCCCAATATTGATCAAATCTTCCATCAAAAGGCTGCCATTTGGATGATAAGGTGGTGATATTATGGAAGTGAGTGTCAGGGGTCAAGAAGTGAAAATCTAAGAGCTGCTTCAGATTTTGTGTCATCTGGCTGCTTAGGATCAGATGTGTGATGGGATTATTGTCTTCAGGACCAGGCTCCTCTAGTGTTGGATGATCTGATGAAATGGTTACTGAAGCCTGAGTTTGAACCAGTTTTGGTCTACAGTTGGAGCAGTTATATAGCATAGTGGCAAGTTGAGTGACAATAGCCTGGTGACCACGGGCCATTTGCTAAGATTGTTGTAATCTGGCTGCCAAGACTTCCTGAGAGATATGATCTGCATGGTCCCAATCATTTGGAAGACTGGTTCCAAGATAGAGATAGTGGCTCCACTGGCGTCTGCAGCTGAGTTTCACCATCTCCAAGATTCTAAGACGAATGGTGTGTCCACATGGTATAACCGGTAGCTGTAAACTTCCATCAAGATGATAGCTGAGTCCTTCCTCCAAAAAATGCTCTAATATAGCACATGAGATTGCACCACAATCACAGTTCTCCGTCTGCTGCCCATAGAATCTGGAGTATTCATTAACATGAACAGCAGCAACATCTCCATAAGGCCAGCCATGCAGCATAGCTAACTTTTTCCAATATGATGGCCCATGCCATTTCTCCCAGTTGTTGTGTAGATTGGTTATAGATTGAGTTATGGAAGTGATGTGGTGTCCTAGAATATGGGCAGTTTGGTGGCTATAGTCAAAGATAGTGTCATATCCCGTATTCCGGACCTACATCCGACAATATTCCCATGCCTCATCCGGACCTTCGGACACCCTATCCATGTCTCCAGTCCTCTATCCATCTGGATCCCTGCACCTCTGCACATCCACATCCACATCCACATCCCTTTACCTCCATACCTCAGCTAGCCTGCATCAGTCATCCTTTGTCCCATCACCCTAATGTCATATCCCATATATCCACGTGTCTCATCCGGACGTCTGGTCTGGTCCGGTCTGATCCGATCCGATATACGATAAGCTTCCTAATTCATTCCTGTGCATATAACGTTAACACAGCCTATTCCTCTATTCGGTATTCCTTGTCCTCGGTATCTCGGTTATACTTACTACCGGTATGCTTACTGATCCATTAACCTATGCTTCATTTCCGACTCGCGCTTGATAACTTTGCTTATGCTTCATACATAGCCTCGGACGCTTGCTTACTGATCTTTCTGTTATTTCCTTAGTATATAAACTCTTGTATATGTCCTGTAGTTCCTCAGTCTGAATATCATATTAGTCCTCGCACTAGATCTCACTCTAAGTCCTCACATCAGTTCTAGTCTATTGACTTAGTCAATATCCATCTCGGGCCTAGGGAGAAATTCCCTAGGCCAGAGCTCCGCTTATCCGCTCATCCGATCCTCCGAAGTTTCTGGACGTTTGTCCGAAACTTTCCCACGGTCCTCCGGACCTATTCTGCTTCGGACTTTGTCCTTGCAGCCTTTCCTCTGTTTGCTTCTACTTAGGACTTGTCCTAAGTAGCCATTACACGTATCCGTATCAGGACGAAACCTCATCGTAATTTCCGGAAGTTCCTCCGGAACTTTCCCGCACTCGTCCGGAAAGTCCTTCCGAACTTTCCCACGCTTCAGACGTCCTTCGGACATCATTCTGAAATTAAGGGCACATACTCGGGTAAGGGGCGCAGCGCACAAGCTGAAGCCAAGCCCCTCGGAATCAGTCCTACCCTTTGTGCACGGTCTTAACACATTCAAACCAGCATCTTATGTCATCTTTTGAGGTCTTTGACTTTCACTCCTATTGTAATGGATGTGCATCTGAGGCAGGCCCTCCAAAGTCTAGATGTTGAAAGGATCTGTGACCATAATGGCATGCTCTTTCTTTATGATATGGAAGAAAGGATCATCAAAGAAGACAGTGCTCAGGTTCATAAAATCATGGGTGCCAATGTCAAAAGCCGTCCCAAACCTCTTGCTTTACAAAATCCTACAACAATCTCTGATGACTGGCCTATTGGTTCACAACCTAGCTGGAAGGATGTGGTGCAGATGATTGAAGAACATCCTCAACTTTTAATGAAACCTTGGGTTTATAATCCAATCTGGGATCCAGGAGATATAGATGTTGGCATGCTATTCATTCAATTCACCAGGGAGTTTTGGTTACAGCTGGGTGAAACACAGGCCACCAATGAATTTATGGATTTCATCACCATTAATCCCAGAATCTGTGATAATCTCCAGGAAGCCATGACCTGCTGGTCCTTGGATAGAGTAAACCAGTGAATTATTTCCATCAAATTCTAGGCCTGCAGTGCTGGACTAGAGGGAGACAAACCTGGACGGCCTCATCTGTCATTTGTCCAGAGAAGAACCACATTTTTCCCAGATAAAGACTCCACCTCACCCCAGTCATCAAAGTGGAAGATTTATTGGATAGATGGATATATTGCACACTATCATAGGATGTGCTCTAAACTGCCAGAAACCCAGTTGCAGCATCTTCATAACAGACTGGATATATTATTTGCCAATCTTCAATGCCTTCCAGATGCCAACAAACCTACTGCAAAAAGTCCTGGCTCAACTTGGACCCTGGCATCTGGTGAAGACAGCATCAAGATAGTAACCAATCCATGTTTCTACAGAATACAAAAATTGGAGGAAGAAAGAGGACTGCTAAAAGGCCAGCTGTGATTAGAAGACCTCAAGATTTCCGTCTTACCATTATGACCTTGCAAGGGCTGGATCTCAGAAAAAATAAACCAAAACAAAGAAAGACCCAAGTAGACCGACGTTCTATAAAATCCAAAAGAACTAGAAAGCCACCAACTAGACACATCAAGGTATGATTAAATCACATAACTTCACAGGTCACTTATCCTTTCATCATTATAAAACTAATACCAATCAGAACTGGTCTTCATCACATCACACAATGGCTTCCATGACAAGTGCCAAGAATAAATCCCACAAAAAACTCAAAATAGATCTGGAACATCATTCTGACACCAATACCACTGGCCATCATGACAATATCTCTGAAACAAGTTCACTATTTGGTCAGAATGATATTGATGTTGCAGATGATGGTCAGTCTGAAATAGATTCATTATTTGACTATGATGAAAGTGGAGAGGAAGCAGATGAAGAGGCAGATGACTCTGATGTTAGCATCTGTTCAACATGATAGTGCATATGCCTATAGATTTATTCATGCACTAGTATTTCAAATTCTTTCAAAACTATTGACATAATAAGCTAGATCTAGATCTCAGGTATGTAAAATGGATGATCTACATTTAGAAAAATATGTTTCTTCCCTTTCAAGGAGAATGAGGCTTTAGATGAAAGATCCTGTACCAAGATAGATATAGTTGTGGAGTCTTTAGAGCAGATAGCATCATCTATGGATTGGTCAAACTGATGGCTGAGGGATCTTATTAAATGTTGAGCAAAAATCTGTAAGTCACCTGACACCCAAGTATCAAAAATACCATCCCATTTTGATGAAAGTGGTTTCTGATCTAGATAGATAGATCTGTATCCACCTCTAAACTCCTGAGAATGGACTGCTTGAGAAAACTTGTGTACTGCAGCAATGATACCTGGAATCTTGAGACTGGTGCTAGCAACCAATAAAACATCTGGTTTTACTTTTTTGGAGTTGCCATTTGCATCCCTCATGATGGCTTGTGCTAGATGATCTGCAGCTGGATGTGTCTGACCATAGAGGACTATTGTTGGAGTTAATGTTCCTGATGTGCGGGGACGCTTGTGACAGATTCTTCTTTCATGTTCAATCTGCTCGCAGGCTGGACATAGTGGTAAGCAGCCAGTAACCAGAGTTGAAACATGCAAGTGTAATGGTGACTGATAGCAGCACTTGATACATGCCAGTGTCTCTAATGTACCATGCAAGGGAATGCAACGGGGCATATCTTGAGGGCTGTGCATCTGAGGTATTCCAAATGATAGGCCTGCCTTTGATTCCAGAAAGTCTATGTTTTGTGTGTAGACATGGAGTAGACCACCTTTTTCATCCAACATTTTGAGAGCCAGATGAAAAGGAGTTGGAGATGCTTGAGAACATTCTTGATGCATTATTGCTAATATTTTGCATAACGATAAAGCCTTTGTGGTTGTCTGCATAAAATATTATAAAATCAATGGTTAGATGATAATGATGAGTGAACTACAGCAAAGGCACATTCCAAACATTTGCATCCAGCAAATCCTTACTCAGTGCGCCAGTAGTAAACAGCCCTTGTGATGAACGGAAATCAGGAATTCCTGCTGATACTGATACTCCTGCTCCTGTATTCCTTGTGTTTCAGAACAAATTCTTCAATATATATGTGTGTAGAAGACCCACCACATATAATGATTAGATTCCTAGCCTCTAAAATTGAGGAGATGACTGCTGCAATATCTTCCAATGAAGTTTTATAACCCAAAGGAATTTGCACTACCATGGTATATCCAAATTTCAAACACTGTAATAATGACAGACTTGAAATTTTTTTGATATAGGTCAAACAATGCAAGCCATGATAATCAACAAAATCACTTGACTCTCACGGTTAATAGATAGATATTTCTTATGAATCATCATTTGCTGTAAAAGTCAATTTAATTTGAATTTGAGCTAAATTAGGCTTGATCTAAATAAAATATTTTAATCCTAGAATATCCAGACATCTAAAACATGTTCATACACATCTGATATAATATGTTAAATGATAGCCACAATAGGTCAGCATGCTTATGTGGTCATGGTGTGCATTGCCAAAGCCTTTGCTCTTGCTATTGCATATAGCATGCTCAATTATTTTTGTAATTCTTTCACTATACCATTTAATGTAATTAAATATCATATATTTCACATCTTTAGACCTTTTTAATGTTCATAATTGAATGAATACTAGAACAGGTCCTTTATCTTCTCTCTTGAGCCTCAACTCATTCCAAAAGGCTCCTGAGATTCAACAGTATATCAGAAGAGAGTTCTACTTGCAAATGCTAGCTGAATACTAGTAGCAGCCATGTTGCAATATCAGCTGTGACATGAGCAGTGATGCAGTGAGTCATGTGGTAGTATGTTGTAACTGTAAGATTTGCATTATACATGCAAGTGGATCAGATGGGTCACATGGAAATTCTAGGATTATGATGGCCTCAATTTGAAGATGATAGAATTTTTCAACTTAAACCTCAGAACTTAATCAGTTGCAATCATTTTAATCACTTGTATCAATGATGTTTATTATCATATTATATTGCAATAGATATGAGCACCAACAGACTGAAAGCTACCTCCTCAACATTTGAAATTATGTCAAGTTGAAATCTTCCAGCTAGTCATTAGCATCTTCACTTCAGAGCATTTTGTCTGATCCTACAATATGATCTTCTGGCCTGGATCAAAATAATGGAGAAGGGTGCTTACTCTATTATCCTATGTGTCATATCCCGTGTTCCGGACCCGGACCTATCACACTCATCATTTCTGGATTTCCGGATCCGGCCGACTTCTATGTATCGTCCGGATCCGACCCGCGTCTAACTTCCGTGCCTTATCCCTTTGGTATTTCCCTTATCAGTTAGTACACTTTATTTTCCGTCCCTTATTCATTTCCGTCTTCATTTTACTAAGTTCCGATAGACTAGTGATAGTCGTCCCATATGTTTTCTTCATAGCTTTACATAGCTTCGCACTGCACTTACTGTTCTCCGTTATGTCCTCAGTAGTATATAAACCCCTGTACAATCTCTGTAGTTTCCTCAGTTCGAATATCATCTTAGACTCTGCTCATTCTCTCCTCCGTCTGACTTGAGTTTCTCTCTCGTCGACCTCCGCTCGTCTTAGGATTGACTCCTATAGACTTGTCACCTCCACCTCTACCTCTGGTAGTCCTCTGCTGTTTCCTTTCTAGTTCGGACTTCGTCCGGATTAGTCTTATCTCTTGTTTCCGAATGTCCGCCGGAATTCCCGCGCATCGGACATTGGACTCCGGACATCGCCCAATGCCCTCCGGACATCGTCCGGTAACCTTCGGACATCGTTCGACGACCCTCGGAAGTTAGGGGCACGTACTTGGGTAAGGGGCACAGCGCACGAGCTGAAGCCAAGCCCTTCGGATCTGATCCTTGAGCACGTTCTTAACACTATGCCAAATTCCATCAGGACAATATTCATCATATAATATCAGGATGATTTTCAAATGTCTGATATTAATATAAGCCTATAGACTAAATAAGAATGAAAAGAATACTGCACTAAAGTGAATTTGCCCTAACACCAACATAACTAAATAATAGGGAAATACCCAAGTCTCAGTGTCAGCAATAATTGATCTTCTCCAACATCCCCTTCTCCTTCTTCTCCTTCTTCTTGATTATCACCAAGCTTCATTGAAAAGTCCATGATGGTAAGTTTCTTGGGTATCAGCATAGTATTACTAGCAGGATTATGACGGGCATCCTGATAGGCAGCATGGACCATACTTTTGAAAAAGTCTTGTAGGTCCAGAGCTAAAGAACTTTGAAACAGCCCCTGAATCCCAGTTTTCTCCAGAGTAGGCATATCCAGGTGTAGCAGAATAGATGAGGTAATCTCTTCCTGAGTTTTGAATTGGGTGGCTTGAGTAAATTGTTTGATGATGACAGGAAGATTGGAGCAAGGGATAGGTTAAACACCCACAGCCAGAACCACATCTACAAGACTCTTGTCATGAGCAATAATGTTGTTCAAATCTGGCTGTTCCTCCTTGGATACCACTATATTTGGACGGCAAATACCATGGTGTCCACAGTTGGTGTAAGATTCACAGATGGTGCATATAGGTAGCCCATCTGAAGCAGAGTGATTTAGAAAAGTGGCTGATGGCACCACATGATGACCGAGGGTGCAAGACATCTGGTCTAGACGTCCTAACAATGGAATGCATCTTGGGCAATTTGGTTCATATATGGACTTTGGGACTCCAAAGGATAATCCTCCAGTGGTCCTTTCCCTAGTGTCAATATTTTGAGTGTAGATGCGCAGAAGATTACCACGCCTATCCAGAGAGTGCATGGCCTGGTAAAACCAGTTTTGTGTAGGTTTCTGATTTAGAAGGTGCTTCATGGTCTGAAACACCAATGATGACTGTGTCTGATCCTATTGATATAGTGATATGTGAGGTGCTTTCTAAACTTATACAGCCTTGTATTGCACACCTGCCAGATTATAGGATGCAGTAACTCAAAAGAATCAAACAGAGGTGGAGATTCAGTAGAAACCAATACACCTGGACCTATTGTAAGCAAGTGAGACCCAACAGGATTACTTGAGCATCAAGCTTTCGAAAGGTAGACAAAATCATACCGCAAATGACAATCAGGTTTTTGGCATTTAATATGATCTCCTGAAGGTTCTGAACCTCTTCACTCCTAGAGGACTTCATGGCAAGATTATTCCGAAGGATATCATTAGATGATAAAGATGATGGTTCAGAATGATTTGTGGATGAAGAAATATGGTCTTTTCTTTTTTGAGAACGGCTTGACACTACAGCCAACCTAAAACTTCAGTGTTAGCATGTTCATCTAGAAGTATAGTTGATCCATTAGAATTACTTGATTTTTTCTATGGCTTTCAGTACAGATGTCTTGGTGGCCCTCAGATTAGATCTATGCACACATGAAAAATCCAGGTTTGAAAGCCCAGGCATGGCCATCATGACAAATAGCCCACAAGACCTGTGATCTGTAGGTCTTTGATTGTTAGTACATTGATAGAAAATTCTGCCAACCTTTCTAGCCCAGGCAGGATAAATTCCCAGACCATCAAAAAAACCTATGTCATGGGTTGACCAGTCCACCCAACCTAGGATCCAGTGAAGGGGGCTTCCTCCAGACAAAGGAAAAGCCCAGCGCTTGGAGGCTAGCAGCTTTTTTTTGGTTATCTGAGTCAAAGAAGTCAGAGCAAGCTTGAGTTTATACACAGTGGTTGCTCATTAATGCACTTACCCAAGAAACAATGTTTTCCAGAGTTGTTCCTAGTGAAGTGTGTCCTTGTATGAAGTAGGGGACCAAAGAACTAATGACAACACATCCTGCCTTAGATAAGCTGGTATCTCTACTAGATACCAGAATAGTATATGCATTCATAATGGTGTCCTTAACATGTTCCTTTGGATCACGAAGACAGTCAAGGTCCTCATCTACCACCTCAATACCTCCGATGCATCGGGATAGTACCCTCCTGGCCAAGTATGTTTCACTTGTTTGTGGAGGTAGGGGTAGGGATGTCACATTGTTCATTTGTATGTCTTGTACAATTCCACCCTGGTTCAGAGATGGTGAAGAAGGTACAGGTGGCAGATCAAGATCTGGCATGATTATTAGTTGTCTGATTTGAGATGTGTTGCTGAATTGAAGGATCTGAAGGAAGCCTTGAAAATCACAAAGCAGGGTGAGATGGATGTACTATGGCCATATGTAATGTACCACTTAAGGGGACCTGCTGTGCCTGCTGACTAAAAATTAGTTGTACCTGCTAATTTGAGATAAGTATGTAAAAGAGAGAAAAAGACCATAACCACAGGGTCTGAACCCCCATCTCCTTGCATGAAAGATCTTATGCAACACAATAAATTAACTTAGCACCCATCCATGGAAACTTATGTGATGATAACCTGGTTGGAGCCAAGGATCCCATGGAACCATGTCAATAGCACTCACCTTCTTCCCATGCGCAATCAGGCTTTGTGTCCAAATTATTTTATTTGGTCACCTTACCTTTCTGTGGAATATTTATGGTGGGGATTGGTGTCTGTAAACATGAAATGGGTTTCTGGTTGGCGTGTTGCTTGGCTACCACTACTGCTATGCTGCATGGGTAAATTCTAAGAGACAACTGCCAAGATCCACGACTTCTCCCACTTCTGCAACTGAAGTATGCCCTCTCAAGATGTCAGGCAAGTCTTGTGGGCAAATGTCCAGGTGTTGCAGAATCTTCATAACGACTGCATAGGCACGAGTGTAGCTAGGTGATTGTAAGGCCACAGGTTTCTTTTTCTTGCTGGACATGGATGCTGGGCTTCGTGCCAGAAGCTTCCTAGGATTAAGAACTATGCAACAAAGTGCCAGCAGTGGCCAATAATGCAATACTTTTCAGACAATAAAGTCAAGGGCACTGAGCAAGCAACATTGCAATCACACTTGCCTGATAGTTGGTCTGGTGGCAACCGGGGAATGAGAGCAGCCATCCGCCAGAGGGTGTCATTTATGTATTCGTGAGTTTGCGTGGTGTTTCCTTCAGTGACTTCTAGGGATCTTAAGCTATACGTGTGATGCAGCATTCCGTATGTAAAAAAATGACCTCCACGTGTGAAAGCAGGATTGTATTCTGCATATAATTGGCCAGGTGGCTGGATTCTACAAAGGAGATAGCGATGAGGTAGCTATTCTCGAGGCCGTCCATCCATAGGCTTACAGCAAATCTCCAGGATATAGGGTCACAGTCTCAGCATCATAATCATCCAGGTCACAAGGACTTCGGAGGGATTTTGCAGCTTGAAGGAGCGCCCTGCCATCGTGGGTGAGCTTGTGGAAAAGGAGCGTCCGCAATTGGATGCCGATGACTGGAAAGAAATAGGTGTTCCTGCCTTCAGAGTCACAGTGCGGAGGAATCAGTACCCCGCCCTGGGACACTGAGGCGCATGGGCTGCCAAGATGCATACCCAGTCCAGACGATGAACAATACTTGGCGGTCCGGTGCTAGGCCATCTGGCCCTCATCTAGGGGACTAGGTGTGGATAAACAGTGAATGCAGAGGTGACTGGGTGACACTTATGCCAGTTTGAGCGGTAAACCTACCGCTATGGGACAGTCCAGAACACATCTTTGCTCGTTTGGATTATTTATACCCAAAATCAAATCACCCATCATGCCAGGAACGTGTGGTTGGGCAGGATTTTTCTTCCAAAGCACCATATCTGAGCAAGCGGGATGAGTGTGATCGCATACAAATATTGAATATCCAGAACCTTACCATGCATATCCACAGGCATGGTGCTGTGGATGCCATACCGCTTTTCCAGGTACTCCATAGTTAAGGTTAGGGGCCCGGGCTTCACTGCCTCACGCACAATGACGCACTTTCCTGCTGCAAGACTAGACCGGATTTCCATCAGTAATGACTCATTTTCAGAGAGGGCCCCCTTGAGATGGGTCACAAATCTGGACCCTGGTTTGGAGGCAGGAACTGCTGCGAATTTTTTTGTGAGGCGCAGATCCTCAATCAATACATTTTGTCCATCACATATTACGGTGGGCAGTATCGTGATATGGCCATCATCCCATGTAACAACCTTGGTCTCCAGCGGAACCTGGATACCTGGCATACCTGAGGCCAGATTCAGTCCTCTTGGTTCTGCTAGTGGATCATGAGATGATGCAACTGAATTCCGGGAGAAACAGTTGGTACATGAATAGCTATCATCTGTGGTTTGATCCTGAGCTGAAGAAGGGGTCCAGGAAAATGCAGGCAAGAGTACTCCGGCTGTGGTCAAAGTATTTGGTTCTGACAGTGCCTGGGCAGCGCTCCTGCGCTCACGCAATTTTCGTTTACAAGCAGCTTGGGCATCTCAACATCTCTGCTTGACCTCGGGTGGCAGTTTGCTCTCGTATCTACGGTTATACTCTTTCTTGCGCTCCGGGGATACAACACGTGCCATATCAAAGTTTCTTTTGAACTTGACGCGCCGGTTTTGGTGAGTTTGAGTAGTTCGGTCGGTGAGAGGGGGATAAAGTGGAGCCAAAAATCCAGGTTAGGTTCACACTTCTTCTGCGGACTTTGAAGTGCTGGGCTAGTTTGACCTCTATGTGTAGCTGCCGTTCTTTGTGTTAATGTGAAGAAAATCAGATATATTAACCAGCTAATGATATCTGATTGTACAGCGAGATTCAAAGACGCTTAAGAAGCTATTTGGGCTTAAAACCCGCAGGGTTTTACGACCCGAAACACCGTTTCAAACCTGTGGAGGAAGTCCAGATGAGCCGTGAGGGCGGGTGGGACAACGCAGCTCATGATGCAGGATTGACCGAATCCTGCTCTGGTCAAAAATTGATGCGTCGAGTAGATTCTTATGAGGTTGAAAATTTCAAGTACTGTTCTGTTGACGAGACATGAGCTGCTAAAAAAAGGGAGTGGTGGGCGGGTGCGACGCAAGGAAAGCGTAGTCTAGGAGTGGAGTAGTTGCGAGTACTAATGTTGTAGTAAGAAGCAGGCAGGTGGGAAAAACAAAAGAGCCATTTCGCCACATAGACCTAATTCTATCTACGCCCTCGTGCCTCAGGCTCAAATAGAATACAACTCCTAATCATTCAATCATACCCCTTTTCATGGCTGCCATTATTGGCTCAGCAATTGTATGACCGGTGGCACTCTAAACGGAACAGATACTTTGCTTTTAAGTTGCTCCAGAAAGTTAATAATATGTCAATGCAGGTGCAAAAGTCAAGTGGCTGTCAGGTTTAACCGGGGACCTGATGGTTTTTAAAGATCTCATCTGGTAAATACACAAAATACACTTTTTATATAAACATCACTTGATATCCACCTGCCATTTTTGAACCAAGACCCCGAATGCATCACGTGCTGAATTTTGGGTTTTGGCACCCTGCAATGAAGTTAGGGGTAAAGTAACTCCTATGCCTTGCGATAAATTTCTATTAGATAGCATGGATGACAGCCGGGGAACCACGGTGCCATGTGTGTGGCGGCCCTGAAACCACCTGATGATCCTCAGTGTCGGTGCAACTCCAACAACTGTCAGGGCTTACCACAAAGCATTTTCAGTAGTTTCTACATAGCATCCCAGGTCCAACATAACAAAATTGAACTCGTCAGCTTGTGCCTCTTTGCAGGTCTGGAGAGCTATTGTCCAAGTGGCGTCATGGTCAACATGCTGAGGCACCACAAAATTCCAACAATAATAAGCAGTTGCACCTATGCCCCCCAAAGAATTGACTTCAGAAGACAACCGTCAGAGCTCCCCAGCCACCTGAGGATGAACTGGTGTGATCGCAGCCACCATCCTTTCCACATCCTTGAATTTTATGTTTCAGTTGGAGAGAAGGATGGAAAGATGTGGTAAACATACGGCAGCATGAGCAAAGAGCAACTTGATGTGGGATGTATCTGTCACCTCCATACCAGTATAGCTGGTATAGGTGTCTCCAGGCTTTCCTCCAGTAGGTTTCCTGGAGCCTATGGGGTGCATCCTTCCCCATTCAAAGCGGCGGAACTGGCTGCCCTGTTTAATGGCTTTGGTTTCCTTTTCGGCAGATGCTTCGTGATGGATCTTCTGAAGGTCCTGATGAGAAAATGTGTCAAAGGAAACTCCTGCTAACACAGTATTGGGTGAGCTGGCATCAACCAACAGGGTGACGTCCCGGCCACAGTGTGCCAGCACATCTGCATGGCGAGAGATCTTTTTCAAACCCAAACCCATTAGAGGAACATAATCGGTATAGACCACCCTGCCCTACGATGAAATAATTTCAAAACAGACAGGAATATCAATACCAAAATTCTTACCTTCCCTGTGGGAGGAAGTCGATCAGGATCATTGGCAGGATAGGGCGTGACGACCTTCCCATGTATTTCTGAGTGATAACTGGGTTCAACAGTCCAATACCTGACACACTTGGAATCCTCAGGTTGATGATAGCATGCACGACAACCCCGGGTAACCAGATCCACGCTTTTGTGGAACTTCGTATGAAAACGCTCGGACAATTCTCGTCGTATGCTCCTCAGCTCTGCAGATAACTTCAGAACCAAATGCAGCTCTTCGTCCAGATGAAGGGAATCCAGATCAGCAACGGAGAAACCGCAGATCAAACAGAATAGATGGTTCAATGAGGCCTTGCATATCTGTTGAATACACCGCGTCTATGTAATGGACGGCATAACGAAAGAGTGCACTCACCCAGGTCACAGATGGCGCCTTAGCAGCCAAGGTTGGTAACATCCATCTAACAGCTTCAGCCAGGAAGCATCTCTTGGATGAAAACGCAAATACTGAGGAGTAATTGGACCTAAATGGACATGCATGATTCCGGGACAGGAGCCGCAGAAATTCTCGGGCATTTGCATTTGAACACTGGCTGGTCTGGATCCTGGGAGGTAAGACTCGATCCACCCATGGAAGCAAACAACTAAGCAGACTCTCTTTCCAACGATATCGCTGGAAGCTCAGAGACAAATAAGGGGTCCTGTTCTCCAAACCCACTCGTGGGTTGGAGATCCAGAGGATTTCGTGACCCAGGCCAGAACACTGATACAAGTGTCAAAAATGAGAACAGTTCAATGAATATGAAGGAGGGGTGTTTACCAAGATAACCGATTCCATCCCAGATTTGCGGGTGGTACTCGGTCTTTGAGTCCATTTCCTCATCTCCCGCAGTGCAGTTACTGCCAAAGCCTCCAGCTCCTGATGCACTTTTAAACCATCGATGTTTCTAATGGATTGTCCAAAGGCTGCCTACCTGGGTGCCTTGGTCAAAGAAGTTGGCCAATGCAGTTTTCCATCTAAGACAGCACTCCTCAGCCCCATGGGTCCAATCATAGTTTAATTCCTCGGCATCAACAGTTTCCAGCGGGGAGTCATCTTCAAATAGTTGGTCACGTGTAGTCAGCTGAAGAGTGTTTCACGTCATTTTCGCAGATAGGGGGGCGAGGTTTCTGGAGCCGCTCACCAACAATCCTTGTAAGACCGAACCCCCAGCCACCCCTTGCAGCAAAGCTTTCATGACCTCCTGTTGATGACACATTCTCATTAAACTGAACTGAATATAGGCTCTGCATAACGATTCATCCAACAGCTTAGCCCAATGTAGTTGATGATGGTCTTGATGCCAGGCCTTTGGTCCAAGCATCTATAACATGAGAAGAGAGCGTCATATATATGGTAGACTAAGGGGTGACATGCGCTCACTTCTGGGTCATCACGTAGAAGTACAGACATAGTTTCATCCTCCCACCTAGCAGCTTCTAGTTCTGTAAAATCTGGTTGTAGTACAGCCCTTGATGCCAAGTAATTTGTCCAGGGCGCTGTACAAGACATGGCACTAAGGTCGAGACAAAATCCTGGCTTGTTTGGACAATATTTCCTACCAAGAGACCTGGCGGTAAGAAATAGAAGCTTCTACATTCTTATACAGCCCAATGAAGAACATCAAAAAAAAATTCCTTATACAAGTCTGATCGAGAGGGGTGCATCCAGTTGGTTCCAGACACTGACTAATTTAGGGTTAATGACACCGACACCACCGTGACGGTGACTTGACGTGAGGGTAACGTCCTTATTACAGAGATATGTCACGATTGACTAGACACAGCAGCGTGTCGTGGTGGACGCGCGTCATTGATGTGTCATATGAGATATATAGTATTTCAATGTTATAAAGTTTGTATTAAAGACGATCAACTTACCATCAGGAAGAGCATAAGGAAACACCGACAGATCAGAAGGACCGGAAGAGATATGGAGAATAGATTTGACGGTAATTGAATGTTCACAAGCTTTGGCCCACAGTGCGTTGCATGCGAGAGCCAGAGCTGATTCATCAATGATCCCAGTATTCCCTGTGGAGTGGTACTGTTGTGCTCGATAAGTGTACGGCGTACAAGTCCAGCTTCGACTATCAGACAATGTAGCGGCCATTCCCACAGTGGTTGGGCTGGGGCCGAGCGTTAGCTCGGATTGGACGCTGACGAGATTGCCGCTCATCCATGCACCGACGGAACTAACTGCAGCATATCACGCAGCCAGCCCAAACAATGGTGAGACAGTGCTACGATGGGAGGATGCCGAGGTGCTGCGAGGCGATTTGTTCGAAGGCGCGTGTGTAGGTTTTGTAGGCCAGCGACTTCCAACGCCCGGCTAGGCGCACTATCTCGGGGTCAACTTTCTGCACGAGATAGAATGAGGCTCCTCCTATGCGGAAAAAGTGCCCGAATGTGATGCCCCATCCCCAAGCCGCGATGACACAATTTATGTGCTTGAGTGTGTGCTATTCTACCATAGAGCGGATGTTGCCCAGCTTGTCTCGCCATGAGAACAAAGGGTCCTCTTGAAGAGCTAATTTCTACCAGTGATTGTACTATTCAGAACACGACAAACAATTTTCTTCCTCGTCCATTGTGTCCTCCCACTCAACTTACTCAGGTCTTCTTCTTATTCCATGCACATGATTAACTCTATTTCAATGCTAAATCCCTTTCACCTTGTTTTTCGCAGGATGTAACTCGATGACCATATTCTGCTGTATGTGCCCCCCATTACACTAGGTGTAGCCGATCTCTGCTCGAAAACAATATTCAGTATCTGCTATTCTCCAAGAAATTTCTTTCTTCGCTTTGTGCACACAATGTATAAAACGATGGGGACTGTTGATCTGATCGGCACAGGGGATCTAACGCTTGCTGAAGAGGCTGAGACGTATCAGTGACGAGATGGTGGTGTGCTGGGGGGAGAGTGTGGGCATAGCAGGCAAGCTACGGTATTCAATTGCAGTTGGATACAAATGCGTGGATGTCAGGATCGGTGAGATACAACATTTATGATGTCGTGCGTAACTGGAAGCTGTTGTAGTGTTCTAGCGTCCGTCAGTGCGCGCAGACCCACAGAGACTATGGCGGCAATCTCTCCTGTTCTGTAATTATCAATTATAATCAGGAAGGTAGGCGTATATATTGCAGCGGTATGTCAACATGCTGACCATAAGCAGTTGGTATGCTCTGCTGGAAACGTCAAGGCCTGACATCTGCCATTTCTCCAGGTGGCTACGAGACACACAGTGTTTTATTGGCTCATCTTCTACAGCTTCCCAGAGATCGCTCCATCTTTTGCCATCCATCTCCGCCATTTCGTCACACATCTCTTCTTTTAATATCCGAGTTTGCATTCAACACTTAGAAGCATGCATCCCCATCTCTGACAGCTGCTGCAAAACGCTTTGCATCAAGGTTCAAGGTATGTCTTTCCTCAAGGCCTCACCTTTTTTTCTTTCAATACACCTCAAGACTTCCCAGCTTTCATCATAAGCAGGTGTTGGCCACGCATATGAGGCTTGCACGGGAACTTGACCAACAACCAGATTTGTGTGACGTATACTTTAGTGAGCTTCTCACCCTCTTCGGAGAAAAAGGCATTGCTATCCAGAATGTGGTGACATCAGAATGATATGTCAAGGTAAGTAAGTTTGCTCACACATTGCAATGTTGTGCTGAACGTTTGATTCAGACGGAAGATACAATCGAGCAGCTGGTCTCTTTTTTTTGCCGATCAAAGCGCTTCTTACCCATCCAGATTACTCTCCACAACCTGTTGCTTCGCAAGAGCTTACCGTCCTCTTCCAGAATATGGTTGCTCTGTGTCCTCTTTCACTTTACATCTGGTGAGGAGAGGGGCATGTTGATGTGGCTCGTACCTGTGTTGGTGGAAATCGCAACTAAGACGCCAACTCTGGTGTGCGAGAACGTTCATGATGCGGCGAGTGAAATCGAGTACGGCACTGACATCCGACATGAATATGCGCATTCTGTTAGTGTTTTTGGAAGGGAAGGATACTTAATGATTTTCACAGGATATCTCGAAGCACTGTTTGTTCCTTACAACATAATATCCACATCGCACAGGCGAGATGCGCTCTTTGTCCCCCGGGGCGGGTAACGTTCTTGTTGACGATGCAGGACGTTAAGAGTATGTGATCTACTTACTTTCTCCCATCTTCTTTCGCGTCATACTTCATGGATGACAGCCTGAACCGACAGCGTTATCTTATTGTATGCATGGAATGTATAGCTGACAAGGTTGTGTTCGTCTTTGGACATGTTGTGCTGGGCTAAATTGTTAAGTCCCGCTACCGTTAGGGAGTGTGTTATGCAAGTTTTGATTTTCACGTTTTGGCGGCAGATTCGTCCGATTTTGGCGACCCTATTTTTTCCGCTTTATATTGTAATGAGCTGTGTTGATCGATCGATCAAAAACCGACTTACCTCGTACTGTGCACTACTACTATCTCTGACTATCTCAGCATGCTTGTTGCAACATTGATCTGTCTCTAGCTTCCGAATCATCACTTCCATAGCGTCTTGGCATGGTCTGTGCCTTGTGGGTACCAAGGATGAATTGTTGGATAGGATCATCGACCATATGTCTTATGTGTGAAACACTTTTTCTTGACCTCTAGATGGCGTATTCGACTGACGACATCGCAGCAGCGAGGAGCTTGCAGTTCTTTACGGTGCATCTCCTTTGTCGATATGAGGGTGATTCACAATTGACAAATCATATATTATCAGTACATGCATGGTGCGTACTGTGTGAACTCCACATTTTTTTTCCTAACACGGTTCAGTGTCGATGGCTACATTCTGGGTAGGCTTATTCTGATCTATCCACGTCCGCTGTCAAACTCGCTTATTCAGACCTATGATTTTATGTATGTTCACTTCATGAAGAGGTAATCCGCCTGTTCCATGATACACTTCGGTTTTGATATCGAAAATATCATTGCTGTGCAAAGTGGACATTTTTGCTGTGGTCACGCTGGAGCAAGATGAAAGGCCTCTACATCGTTACACGATACCTCCCCTTTACCTTTCTAGGACTCATAAAACTCACACTCATACGCGCCATGCAGAACTGGCGGATAAACTCAGGTGGTCTGTACGTTGTCCTGGTGAATCATAACATATCCTATTATGCATGCGGTTTTCGTGGGTTTACAACCTTTCGAGCCGTTTTCCTGTACTCAGACATGATCATTCTTTCCTGAAGTGTTCTCGGTTACGAACATAATCACATTGCTGCTCCTCCAGGTGTGATAATCTATTAAATGCTTTTTATGATCGAGCCGTCGATGTTCTGCGCCTCAGTACTCCTACCAAACCATTTTGTATGAGTATGCACCTCCACACCCTGCTGCATGTTTTTACTAATAATACTCGAAATGTATAGTGTCGAGTTCATCGTGCTTGCAATTCTTGCCACGTGTATGCACCTCCATCTTTGGCAGGTGAGCCGACATCCACACGGCTCTACTAGCACCCTCGTGCATGTTCTGTCCGACATCTCATTTGGAAATCCCACGGCATGACCTGCGGCTTATTCAATGTCGTTCGTGGAGCGGTGCTTGGATTGTAAAAGAGTTTGGTAGAGTTTATTACGTACTTAACTTGTAGAATGAGTCTGTCGCGGGGGTGGGAGGAGCACCCGTATGGCCTTGGTCTATTTAAATCAGTGGTTTCCACTGTGAGAGGCAGGGGATTCAGGGTCCATAATTCGAGTGTATTGAAAGCCGGACGCACGGCCTGACGACAATGAGTAATTTGGTACAGACATCTAAACCTGCTACCCGACTTGCTGAGGTGTATTAGATTCCCGCATCATACATTTGCCGTCAAGCCTCTTCATACTCCGCCCGTTTGCAATGTGTTGGGTAGCGGGCTTTGCCACTTTAGATGGTGCTACATACTTATAGGTGGATGCATGGGAGAGATGAATTCCCAAGCTGTGGAGCAGGAACTACCGTCCCATCTATCAGAGGAACTTTGCAAGCTACTTGTAGCCTGCATTCATTGCATATCTCGTGCTCGGGACGTCGCAGCTGAATACCTATTCAACCTGTCACAACTCAAAGCTATGTTGACCCCTTTTATCATGCCATTAGCTACAGTCCAACTGACAAAAATGAAATTGACCCAGCAATGACTCATGCTGCATACCTTAGTTGTACAGATGTTGTTCAGTTGACTGCAAGAGGCTAGATACTATTGTCACTCAACTGTAATGTTGCTCATCCAAAAGAACCTTCCTATTGCATGTTTCCCAGGGTAGTCAATGTGTAGGAAAGCAGATGAGCTACGTGCAGGAAAAGCAGGTTCAGCCTTGCATGAACGATGATAGGGAAATGATACTGAGAAATGCAAAGTGAAGGGAAACCTATGGTCCTCTATGGTCCTTGACACAAGTATCAAAATGACCTCATTTTAGCCCAGTGCAGGTCTGAGCATCGCACTGAGCCAAATAGTATTGCTTATTATATATTAGGGCTGATATGGATGTTCTATGAAAATATACACAAATAGGCCCAGATGAGAAGGGTGGGGTGGACATATATGGTGGGGCCAATATATATATTATATTGAAAGTCTTGGTATATGTGCAGGGGCCAAGATGAGTGCTATCAAGTATATGTGATGGGGCAAAATGCATACAATGATGAAATATCTGTATATACCAATAAGCTGGATGGATTTAGACATGGTAATAGATATATAGCAGAGGCTGTAATCTTGACAGGGTGGATAATATATTGGACTTTTGGTATGCAAGAATATAATGACATAAGATAAGAAGTACACCCCACATCTGATGGGTTTCTGGAATGATCAATGGGCTGAAGCAGATACATCTTATGCCAGGAACTCATGCATACAGCCAGACATGTCATAATTTCACACTGTTGTAGGAAGATAGCCCCTAGAACTCAACCATGCCAGTGTAATTCATCCCTAAGAGACTGCCTGTAGAACTGCCTCTTTAAAACCTTAGTGCAAGCAAGATCTAATAAGATGAACAGTGAGAGAAAGAAGCATCCAACATATGTCTAATCTTTCAAACATACATCCCAAGTACCAAATTACTAGTCCAATCTGACCAAAAGTGGTCTCAACTCAACAACTCATCCAATCACACCCAGACTTTCGGAATCCCTCCCTACTAAACCATGACCATTCTCAGCTTTAGTACCCCCCATATCTCAATCTATCTCTCTCAATCCATCAAATCCACATAACACTACCAAGAGCACAAAACCACAACCCTCCCAACCCCTACTCAATATCAAAATCTCTGTCCCATCATTTTTCTCCATCAACCCAAACTATCTCAAATCCTCATCACCATCACCTCCTATTTTTATTTTCTGACACACTTCCTTCTTCTTTCTTCCTCCACCATACTCTATCTCCACCCATCTGTCCTGTCAATCTACTTCCCAATCCTAGCCCCCCAACTTCCTCCCCTCCACAGCTCTCTTCTCTTTTACCTTCCCACAGCCCAAGCCCCACTCATCCAATTTCTTCTCCAAATCACAAAGTCCACTACAGCAAGATGCCAACAATGCAATGAAACCAACAAAACTGTCCACCACTTCCTGATCACATGCAACACATACTCCAGACAGAGAGCCGCCCTCCGCACAGAGGCCCCCACTCAAGCAAGCCAACTACAATTCCTCCTCAGCACCCAATACAGAAACAGAGAGCTCCTCAACTACATCCCACTCCTCATGGTCTTTATCTTGATAATAACTATTTACAAGCTCCGCTTGAACATTCACTATATAGATGCTAGTCATATCAGTTGTATTCCTTACTTTAATCTACTGGGTTTTACCTGGAACTTGTCCTTTCAGCAAGGTCTCCAACCTTACTGTCTAAGAACTACTATTCTAAGAAAGTCGCCTACACTTGCCTTAGCCTGAAACCTTTGATCTCTTATTCAAGAGAAGAACTCTGTCTATCCTGCACTCTTGCAGATCGTCCATTCGGACTTAGATAGCTCGACTTATCCTAGTCGTAACAACAGTCATGTCCTTTGTAGATATACTTGTGAATGTACTTGACAGACTTGATCAAAGCACAGACTTCCAAATTAATGTGGCAGTTGAATTCAACCAGCAGTTGTGGAGGGTGAGGAACAACATCTTTATTGGTGAAGACATCGTTATTCTTTTGGATCGTGTGAGTATTATCTGGTCTTGCATACTCTGGGTAGCCATCATCCTTCAAGGATGTCTGGCCACAGAAAGACTTTGGAAAGTGCTTTTTGCACTGTCTATTCTCCAAGCAACACTCTGGAGTGCATGAGCCATGAAACATGTATTTTGATAGAGCTTTATAGAGTTGTGGGTGCTATCCGGTATCTGAGCAGAGATGAAGGAGTTGATTTGCTCCACAGTCCTTATCTTATGATCTGAGTCAAGGAAGATAAGCAGATCCATATGAGGGAGACCCCGCTTCTGATATTCTATGGTGTACACCAATCCTGCAACTTTTCCGTAGTAGCCCTGAGGCTTCAGAGAGAAGTATGTTCCAGGGAAGATTGAGTAGATTCAAGTTAGAGAAACTAGTACAGGGCGACCAACTACTTATACGAAAGGGAGAGGGTTGAGGGCAAGGTTACCATACAGTAGGTAAGGGTCAAGGGGAATCAGAAAGGGTATAGGTACATTGGCAACAGAGCCGGATTAGTGATGGTAGGTCAAATGCGGAATGAGACCTAGAAACATTGGAATGAACCAATGGTAATGATACAATGCGCAGCAAGCTCAAGTCAGAAGAACCTAAAAGGAAAGCCACATAGGTGGCACAAGTCAGGACAAGTCAAAGTGCAGGGGCACGTGTGCACGTTGGTGCAATAGCGAGATAAGGTTGAGGAGGAGATGGAGATGAGGGACGGGAACGGTCCGGAGGATCCGGTCAACAGATATCCAGTAGAGAAGTGCGAGCCAGTAGATGGTGAGGGCGAGGACGAAGGGAAAATGATAGGGGGGTCCCGTGACTGATGTTACTTGTAACACCTCTTGCTGTAGCCGATGAGTCTCCTGAGCTTGTCTATTAGCCCACTCAGCCTCCTCCTGTTGTAAATGATGAGCCTCCTGAGCTTGTCTATTGCACCACTTGACTTCCTGCTGCTGTATTTCAAAAGCATACTGAGCCTCTTTATTTCTCTGCCTAGCTTCCTGCTGCTGCAATTCCAGCTGAATCTGCTGTTGATGAAATGCCTCTTGTGCTTGTCTCTGAAGAAAGTCATTTCTAATCTGTTCATTTTCCATCTCTTCTTGCTGGAAATGGTGATAAAACTGGATGTTAAACTGATGGTAATCAAGTTGAGGTGGTGCATGCAAAGATGGTGCCGGATTAGGCGCAAAGTAGTGGAGGGGATCATTAAAGTTCTGAGGTCCAACTGCACCCTCATAATGAATAGGGAGGTATGCAGGAGCAGGAGGCACAAGAGCAGATGGAGCAGGTTCGTCAGGAATGTGAGGTACCTGTGGAGGCTGCATTCTAGCTGCCATAAGCTCTGCCTGTGCCTGCTGTCTTATTTCATCTCTGTCCTGTCTCCTACAGAGATTCCGCTGATGGCGCCTATTATTTTGAGCAGCATTCATTTGCTCATTTAAGCAAGCATTATAATCAACAGGAGGAATATGATGAGCATGCTCCATATGCGCAATTGCATTTCTTGGCAAGCTAGGATATCCCTCAACTAGTAGTGGTTGATATGGGAAGTGTGCGGGGGGTGGCCATACAAAAGGTCGTAGAACAGGGCCTGCTTGTGGCTCATTAGCTGGCATGAAATTTGGCTGTGGTACAGCAGGCGGGGTCTGTCCTGATTGACCTGGGAAGCCCGGTGGAGATTGCGTCTGGTGGGAGACATCATTTGAAGTCTGTTAATTCTATCTTGTTCACTTTGTGATTAGTGGTCATGCTCGGGCGTAATCCGTGGTTGTTGTCTAAATGGTCAAATGTGCAGACATCAGCATCATGCACCTTGCACATAGCAATTTTATAATCAACAACTCACAGAATAGGAAAATTTTGATCCATCTTTTGTTATATATTATATATTCAAACTGTTGTTTAGCAAGTGTCAAAATTGCCTGAACTCATTGATAAGAAATGAAACCCACAAAAGTGTATTTACACTTTATCACACTTGGCTGCAGGAGAAGGCACTTTAACTCGAGAATTCTATTCAAAAGCAGCAGCCAAGTTGTGTAATGATTTGTGTAACCAAGTTGTGTAACCAATGTAACCAAATTTCTATCATTGCTTTTGTTATGTTCAATGCCTTTCCCCCATGGTAGGAAAAGTCTGTTGTTTGTCTGTTGCGTTCCCACGGCGCAGTAGGCGTGAGTTTTACTGTCCACTATATCGTGTTTGGGACTTCGTAGAATTTTTGCATCTTGAAAGCTCAATTTGAAAGCCCTTTTCACACAATCACGCATGTGAGTTGCCAAATCAAGGTTAAGCGAGCTAAGTGCAAACCACATGGCCTTTGGTGAAATATGCAAGATAGGCGGAATAGGCGCAAACCACGCAAGCACACAACTACTCCCAAAACCGTTGCACTTTACTTCTTAGATTCTAAATGTGGCTGTGTAACTATCTAAATAAGGAAATATGACTCATCCTGACTCATACTGTGTCTCATGATAACTTGTTCACTTCTCGAATATTCTCATCTATCAACTTTCTCTATTCAAATTCCTGACTAATCCATATTATCTTACTAATCCATTTCATCTGACTAAGCCATTAGTTACCCATGAACTGTTGATACATTAAAATGTGGTATTAAATATGTTTCAAACATACAAAAGAAATGTGAAGATTGTGTGAGAAAAATTATGATGTTGTGAGAAAAAATGCTGAGTTTGCAGCTCTGTTACATAACGAGGCACGAGCGAAGGAACAGAGTTTAGTCTTTGTGAGAACAACAGAAGCGGCACGAACTCTTCTTCTTGTACCGCGACTGTCATTCCCTAATAGTCGTTCTCGACATTCTCTCCATTCTTCTTTGCTTTTCTTTCACACAAACACCTACTAGTAAACTAATCACCCATAACTCCTTCATCCTTCCAACTAAATATATCGGATCCCACATCTCAACTATGGTAGAAATCATAGCACCTAGTATAAACTCTGACCCGGTGCTCGAAGTTCAACTGAATTTCGAGTTACCCGCCTTTGCAGCTTGCACGGCCGCTCTTGTAACCTCCAGGTTAACAGCAGAGGCAGCCCTCACCCAGCTTGTTGATGGCTGGACTCAAGAATGCCAGGAACGCATGGTCCTCTGGCAGCAGCAGCTTGACGAAGATGCGCACACGCTCCAAGAAGCCGCAGACCATGAGTGGGAAGTAAGAGAAATTGCAGAAGCTGAAGAACGGCGCGAAACCTAGAAAAAGAAACCAAAGATCAACGACTTCAATGCTGACCTACCTGTTTCAGACATTATCATCCCGCATCCTTCTCAATTCGCACTTCAAAAGGTCAAGAATATGGAATCCATCCAGCTCTGGTACTTCAGCCCCGACGGCTGTCAGGAAGCTCAAGACTGGAACAAATCCTCCGCAGATGACGCTCTAGGTCTTGAAAAGATCGACGACATTGTCACCCTGAAATCATTTTCTTCCTTCAAAGCCTCTAACAAAGCCTTACAGGATCACGACCTCTCCTGGAGGCAGTTCAATATGGCCAAAACCAGCTTTCTCATCCACATGGAGAAAGCCAGTTGGCCCGACAAGCACCAGATGGCACTCACGCTATTCTTCACGCTCATCACGAACCACAAACATAGGCTACGCCCATGGGGAGAGAAGACTCTCCTCCACTATGCAAGCATGGTTCACAGAGACTGGCATGATCGCCTCACCCTGAATCAAGGTTTCAATATAGGGTTATTCAACAATGCCCTCTACAACAGCCTATAGGACAACGTCTGGGAAGAAGAACGAGACTAGGGAATGAAAATGGTAAGCATGTTTCCACCATTATATACACATTTATTGACTCTAATCTACACTTTGTCCTATTCCACCTCTCGCACATGCCCACTACCCCTTGCACTATGCACACCCAATGCTACCCTAATCCAACCTGCTCCCACTCCACTGCATGCTACCCACTATTTTCTCCTGCTTCCCACTTGCTTCCCACCCTTCCAAATGAAATGAACACTGCTACCCTCCGCTTCACACTCACCACCAACCACGCTACCAACCAATGTACAATGCTGCCACACCCATGCTCCCCGCTACATGCTCCCCACCATCTGCTTCCCCATGTTGCTACCATCCACTTCTACCCACTCAAACCAACCATCTACTGCACCCACACACCACACCAACTGCTACTTCCCCTCATTGTCACCACCCAGCTCCAGAACTCAGTGGCATTCTTGTTGTCACAGCCAAAAGGTCAAACTCAAGAGAACATTCCCTTTCCCGGAAAACAAGAACCTGCAGGGGGAGCCCAGCCTGAGAAGCGTTTCCACCCCTACCGACGACCTTCTGGAAATCAGCAAGGGAAGCAAACCAACGCTAACCAGTCTTTTCCAGCGGGTGCAGGCAGAACTGGTTCCTCCGCCTGTGCCCTTTGCCTGGGCCACTTCCATCACAATATCCACAAGTGCGCAGCCCAGCTCTTGTGGGATGGATGCACCAAAAACCCGATGCAGTCGAAACTCAGCAGGCCACTTGGTCAACCCCGAAGGTCGAGAGCTATGCTAAGACTGGCAAAGGCCCAACGGCTGCACCAACACCTCCCGCTCCCACATTCACGAGTGCTCAGGCTGCGGAAGCAAAGAGCACGGCGCTCAAGGATGTTCTCTCAGCAAGATACTCTAAGGCGCTCACCCCGTACCACCCAGAAGCCTGGCATCATTTTCTTACAGCCTCTACACTTATACATAGATACAAACATATTCCAAATAGTTTACGTACGGGCTTCACCGGAAGTATTCGCCTAATCACCTTTACTTACACACCAACTAATAATCCCTCAATTCTTGAACATCATGACGCTTTCAACACAATCATTGAACATGAGTATGCTACCGGCAGATATCTGGGCCCGCTTTCCAAGACTGAAACAGAAGCCCTCATTGGACCTTTCCAAATGGCTCCGCTGTCTATCATACCCAAACTGGGCAAACCAGGGAGATTCTGCATTGTCCAAAACTTATCATTTCCCTCATCCCCTTCCCCCCCCATCTCATTCATCAACTCTTCCATCAACTCCAACCTCTACCCATGCATGTGGAGAACTGCTGCCACCATATGCACCCTCATCTGGTGTCATATCCTGTATTCCGGACCTACATCCGACAATATTCCCACGCCTCATCCAGACCTTCTGATGCCCTATCCATGTCTCCAGTCCTCTATCCATCTGGATCCCTGCACCCCTGCACATCCACATCCACATCCACATCCCTTTACCTCCATATCTCAGCTAGCCTGCATCAGTCATCCTTTGTCCCATCACCCTAATGTCATATCCCATATATCCACGTGTCTCATCTGGACGTCCGGTCCAATCCAATCTGATCCGATATACAATAAGCTTCCTAATTCATTCCTGTGCATATAACGTTAACACAGCCTATTCCTCTATTCAGTATTCCTTGTCCTCGGTATCTCGGTTATACTTACTACCGGTATGCTTACTGATCCGTTAACCTATGCTTCATTTCTGACTCGCGCTTGATAACTTTGCTTATGCTTCATACATAGCCTCGGACGCTTGCTTACTGATCTTTCTGTTATTTCCTTAGTATATAAACTCTTGTATATGTCCTGTAGTTCCTCAGTCTGAATATCATATTAGTCCTTGCACTAGATCTCACTCTAAGTCCTCACATCAGTTCTAGTCTATTGACTTAGTCAATATCCATCTCGGGCCTAGGAAGAAATTCCCTAGGCCAGAGCTCCGCTTATCCGATCCCCGCTCATCTGCTCATCCGATCCTCCAAAGTTTCCGGACGTTCGTCCGAAACTTTCCCGCAGTCCTCCGGACCTATTCTGCTTCAGACTTTGTCCTTGCAGCCTTTCCTCTGTTTGCTTCTACTTAGGACTTGTCCTAAGTAGCCATTACACGTATCTGTATCAGGACGAAACCTCATCGTAATTTCCGGAAGTTCCTCCGGAACTTTCCTGCACTCGTCCGGAAGTTACTTGCACTCGTCTGGAAAGTCCTTCCGAACTTTCCCACGCTTCGGATGTCCTTGGACTTTCTTCGGACATCATTCTGAAATTAAGGGCACATACTCAGGTGAGGGGCGCAGCGCACGAGCTGAAGCCAAGCCCCTAGGAATCAGTCCTACCCTTTGTGCACGGTCTTAACATCTGGCATCTCCCTCCAGGGTCCCAAGTGGCCGTCCATGATGTGGCCGAAGCCTATCGCACCATACCATTACACCCGTCCCAGTGGCCAGGACTGGTGGTCTGCACAGACACCAACAGCTTCGCCATCAACATGAGTTTCTGCTTCAGCTGTTCATCAGCTGCAGGATCATATGGAGAAATGGCTGATGCAAGCGCAGACGTCATGCGCTCGCAAGGCATTAGTCCAGTATCCAAATGGGTCGACAACCACTTCTTCATCCGTATCCTATGTAAGTACCTTGAAGAATATAACCAACTACGTGCATCAAGAGCTCCCATCATCCCCAAGAACGGTGGCTGCCTCGTGGAGGGAGGGCATCACTGGTATCGGGGATCCTCAATGTCTGATGACTGAATCGAAGAATTTGACAAAGACTTCGCCTTTCCCATCATTGATCTATCATCAGCCTCTCCCCACTCCCCAGAGGACGTGCACTTCACTTACTGCTTCGACGACATCAACAGACTCTCCCTCATGCTGGGCATTCCGTGGGAACTCACCAAGGACATACTCTTCTCCACGTGCGCCCCATTCATCGGCTTTCTGTGGGACTTGGAGACCCTGCAGGTCTCCATCCCAGAACAGAAGAAGGAGAAATACCTGGAGGCCATTCGCGAATGGGAGAAACAACCTGTACACACCCTGCTTGAAATGCAACAACTCCATGACAAACTCCTTCACACATCTTTCATTCTCCCTGCTGGAAGAGCATACCTGGTTTCCCTCGAAGCCATACTATCCATCTGCAATAACCGTCCTCACATGCCTCGCACCCCCCCAAAAGACACTGCAGACGACCTCCGTTGGTGGAAAGGGAGTCTCGCTTAACCTGACATCTCCTGCACCATCCCAGGACCCATTGATGTCATCAACCCCACGGCTTACTCAGACACTAGCTCGGGTGTTGGCATTGCAATCTGGATCAATGGTTGGTGGCCAGCTTGGCACCTTTTACCAGGGTGGAACCAAAACAACCGCAACATTGGCTGGGCTGAAGCAGTCGGAAGGGAACTCCTCACTCGCACGCTCATTGCTAACTGCCCAGAAAACTCATGCCTCAAAGTTTACGGGGACAACCGAGGTGTCGTTGAAGGGTGGTGGAAGGGCCGCAGCGGTAACCGTGCCACCAATGAGGTCTTCAAGCGCATCCACAAACTTTCAGCCGCAACCAAATGCACCTTCCTCACCCGCTATATCCCCAGCGCACACAACCCCGCAGACGGCCCCTCAAGAGGCAAGTACCCACCAGCCAACCTCCTACTTCCCCCAGTATTCATCCCAGCAGAAATCCAAGAGTTCCTCGCCGACTTCGATGCTCCCACTCTCCCTGCTCAATGCTTCGCTGAAACATCACTCCACAGGACTCCGGCACCCACTCAGCCCAGCTACAGCACCAACGGTCACTCACACGACCTCAATGACATCCTCAGACACGAGGGAGAGGCTCTCTTCAAAGCATCCCAAGCATAGTAAGTCCTGCATCCACCCACACACAATCCCAAACAAATGCTGAGAGTCTCACTCACCCCATAGCCTATCCTGCTAACCCAGCACTCCGCCCATCTCCACTACAGCCACACTGTTCAGCCAGAGACCGCCTGCGGCTTTGGTCCCCAACAAGCACAAAATCACTGTTGTCCCACCCCAACTGTGAAGTCCAGCGCATACAAGATGTTATGATACATGCTTGGGCCCGCAGCACTCAAGAACTGTACGGCAGCGGGATCCTCGCCTTCCACGTATTCTGTGACACGAAGTCAATCGCAGAAGCACTTTGGTCGCCAGCATCCTCCGGCCTCATTGCATCATTCATTGCCACCATGGTGGGTCTATATTCTGGGAAAACAATATCTAACTATGTGCATGGCATCCGTGCATGGCACATCCTGCACAGCCAACCCTGGACCATTGATGACAACCAAATCGTCACCCTTCTCAAAGTGGCAACCAACCTTACCCCCGCCACCTCCAAGAAGAAGAAACGGCAGCCATACACAGTAGACTTTGTTGAAGCACTACCAGGAAAACTTGATGCCAACAACCCTCTTATTGCTGCAGTACACGCCTGTCTCACCGTCACCTTCTACACCATGGCACAAGTGGGGGAATTCACGGTGCCCAGCATCAACGGATTTGGCCCATCCACGCACATCACCAGCTTAGACGTCCGCCGTGAAACTGACCAGAACGGCCTACAGACGACCGTGTTCCACCTTCCTCGCACAAAGTCTTCTCCCACAGGAGAAGACATTTCGTTAGTTAGTTGCCATCAGTAATTCATCCCAGATGATAGCAGTTGCATTCCGAATGAGATCTGCTCTCGGCCAGAACAGGTCACAGTGGATAGTGGAATGGATGTCCATTCTCACAAATTTCCATTTCACAGTCTACATGAAGTGATGATGTTTATGACAGGTACTTTATACCCAAAGATTTGAAGTTGTATGTGTCAGGTTGTCAGGAGGTACTAGGCTGAAACAAAGCATCATAGTAGTCACAAATGTCAAGTATTACTAATCATGGGAAAGAATTCAGCACGAACAGA